ATAGATTGACATATAAATATTGTTTTTAAATATTAAATAGAAGTCTTAAAATTTCTATAATGTATTTTAAATATTTATATTTTACTCTGCTAAGCATAGATATTTTTAATTTATTTATTTTAGAAGAAGTTTCTTCTACTTTTATATTTTTTGAATGTATTTTTCTCACTTTTCTAAAAACCTAGACTTTCGTGTGTGTTTTACAATTTGACAAGTGATATTGAAGCCTCATTAAGACGGATGTCTAAGTGGGCGTTGGGGGGCGACACTGGGTCTAGGTGGGCGTGCCAGTGGGTCGCTGTTTGCGGTCGTCATGACTGCGGTTCCGTCAGTCACCGAAGCGCTCAAGTGGCACGCGCTTGATAACAACACCAGCTTTCAGTTCCCAGTTGCATCTCTCAGAGATCCGCAGGGAGGAACGTTCATTTGAAATGCAATTGAAACCGCCAGAGACAGGCAGAGCGACATAGACAGATGCAGAGCAGCTCCAGTAATGGAGGGGGAGATGAAGAAGGTTGGAGCCCGGTGACATGAAAGTAGATATGTAGCTATAATAATAATAACGATAGCAGAACAATGCGGGACTTTGGGAAAAGCGACAGCAGGAAGCAACGATAAAGTTAGTTAACAGGTGCATGCTAAAAGTAACAGAGTTTTAATAACGATAAGTGAAGGAATAAATATGGGTCACTAAAAGTAGGAGAAAGAGTTAATATATAGAGGGAAAAAGTTCAAAAACGTGACTTTTTAGTTAAGTTATTTTTTAAGATATTAAATATATTTTCTGTTAAATAACAATAACAGAAATTTAAAGTTTATTAAGTCAAATTATGGAAAATCAATTTCATGTTCCATTTAATGTCAACTCAAAAAGAATATTAAATCTTAGATAATATATATTTAACCCATATATTTATGCTCTCTATAAATTAGCTTAAAAAACTCATCATATAGTTGCAGAATCCTTTTAATTTACCAACCGAATTCCAACTCTTTTATTGCATTTGCAAATGAGAGAGGATTCTGGCTTAATGTGCCCTTTGGTTTCCACTCCATGTACATGCATATAAATGTCAATTACGTTTCTGCTTAGCCAATTTACAAAATTAGGTTAACTGGTGTTATCAACAGCATTTCAGTAGTAGTCGTGGAAATGTCAACTTTACCCAGAATTTCCTCGCTTTTCTCCACAACCCCCCTCGCACCCAGCTTTCCAACTGTCACTTTTGGGCCGAAAGTCTCGCATTTGGAATTGGCAAGTGAATGAGGGAAAAACGTAGAGTTGCAAAATGAAAAATGCATGAAAAGCGCAAATTGATAATTGAATTTGGCACAGGCTCAAACTGCAGTTTGCTATTTGTTGCTATTTTGTGTTATTACTATGTCACAGCATGCGCCAAGTGGGTCAATGTGAACGTCGTCGGGTGACAAGCAATAAAATGGGAAAAATAATAAAGAATAACAAAAAGCAAAAAAGTACAAGCTAAATCACACGGCACACATCAGCAAGACTGACATAAAATTATAGCCAATTAGGTGGAAAACGGAAAATATTTGTCATGCAACTGGGGAACAAAGTGCAGGGGCAAAGGCAAAGATCTCAAGAGGAGTCCTACACCCATTATTGGCCCTAAAATATATGTATGTGTGTGTGGGTGATAAAACCTCATCGAACATGCTGATGGGCCACAAATTACACGAAACACAGCGTCGTCATCAATGGCATTCGATTTCCAACACTCGACACTCATAAATTTGATCAAGAGATGGCGCCCAGGATATTGAAATACATGACCCGAGGGCTGGCGCACGAAACCCCAAAAAAAATATGATGTTCGTGGATATACCAAATCTAAAGTATTGCATGTTGGCACCCATTTCTCCATCGAGCCATCGGGCGGCATTCGGTTAATTTAACGGCAATAAAAACATCACGCATACGCCCCGCGGTGCCAGCGGATGGGCAATAAAACAAATGCCTTGAAATTGTCATCGAACAGAAAAAGACAGGGCGCAGAGAAAGAGAGAGAGAGAGAGAGAGAAAAGGGAGAGAGAGGGAGATATAGAGAGCAGGAAGGCCGCGTTGTTAAAGTTCAATCATTAGTTGCCACATGACACAATGCAGTCAACCAGCAAGCCAAACGGAAAATGAACAAGAAAAAATGCTAATTTAAGCTATTGAGATATTGAATACCCTGACAGAGACATTTACATTCCTGAAAACAAGTAGGAAAGCTAACACATGGCTTATTTACTTTGACTAATTATGCTTAGATTTATGAAAAACTTCATTTAAATAGTGCCAAAGGCAGATGATGGACTAAAGGTTGCCAGGAACTTGTTGCGCAACATCCAAGTATAGAAAAATGTTGCCAAAAGCCTTGATGGATACAAAAATTTAAGATACCCTTAGTGAGAGTAAAAAAAAGTGTCGCACGAGTTGTGAAATATTGTAGAAAAAAAGGCATTGAAGTAAGTGGCATATTCAGGGGGGTATTGGAGGGGTAAATGTGGGCGAGCATCGTGTTTTCCCCGTTAGCTTTAAAAACGCCCACACGATCCCCATTCCCCTCCCTAACACTCCACCTCTGTCTAACTGACACCACAGCAGCTGCATTCGTAGTATCAAAAGATTAAAGCGCAACAACAGCAACGAAAACAGAAAATATTTCCCATTCCCGAAATGTTTATGTCAAGGCCCAGAGGAAGAAATGGAAACCCATGCAGAGGCGGAGGTGGAAATCATGTAGAGAAGAGAAGTCGGGGGAGAATGCGAAAAGATTTGTAGATTTCAAGAAGAAATATGTAAAAGTGAAATTGAAATGCCTTTGAGCGTTAATTTAAATGGGTGAATTTCTATTATTGACTTTGAGGAATTTAAGGAAATTAATCTAAGAGATATCATTTTAGTTTTCCATTATTAAGCTTTGGGTTTCAATGTGTCAAAGATAGTTTCCAGTTTTTCTTAAATGGTTTTATACATATTAAAGTAACTTACATTTGAAACTGTGTTTTCTTTACATCATTTATAATTTATAACAATAAAAAATATAATTTTAAGTGGCTTCGGTAGGTGGTTTAAATATAAATATTTTAATTTTGAGGGAATTAAATTACAAAGGGCTTAAATTTAGTTTTGTTTAGCAAAGAAGAACATTAAAATTTATTCAATAAATATTTAACATAATTTTATAGTTTTCATTTATGGTTCTTTAATTAAAAACCTATTTTTAGTTTGTTTTCAACAGATTTAAAAATGAAATCTTTAAGATTTTATTACCCTTATGCCGGGGCAACATAAATTTCGTTCCAAATTGCATGACTATTTTTAAATACTTAAAAAGCTAATAGAACTATTTAGAATTTAGTTGACTTTTGGCCCACATCACCCACTGTACTCCCAAATGTTCAGCGGAATGGCTATCTCGGTGATCTCAGCATTATAATGAGCTAAGCAAATGCGCAGGCGTATTTTGAGATGTGACAGCAGTCGCAGCAGCTAAAGATTGCTTACAAAACATACAAAGTAGAAAATTATTTAGCAACAACAATCTAAAGGGAGGGAGGGGAGGTAAAAGCGATCCGAATAGGAGCGGAAAAAACAAAACAATATTTTTATGTTGTCGCGTGGTTGGGACAAGCTGCTGTCGTTGCTTTATATTTGCTTTTGCTTTTTTACAGCATGATATATGGAAATGTTTTATGAGCGGACTGCACTTTCGGACTGTCGCCATAGATGTAGACACAAAAAACTTGACTGGAAATTGAAATTAATTTGCTGCCAGAAGGAGGTGGGAGGGAAATTCGGGAGGCTGTGGCTCAACACATTGCATTGCATAATTACAGATGACGTAGAACACACAATCTTTCACTGCAGCATGTAATCTCTGGCCAGGGACAGCAGACAGAAAGCAGAAAGCAGAAGCAGAAACAGGATTTTGTCCAATTAAAGCAAACATCAATTTTAGTTCTCGGAATGTGTGTGTTTTACGTACAAAGACCATTTCGTGTGTCTCTCCTTTATTATCCGTAACGAACCGTTGAGTTTTGTCATTGACTCGGCGACTGCTGCTGCTGCTGCTGTCTGGCTTTAGCCAGATCTGGAAAAACTGGAGCATGCAGCGTTTCGATTCGGCCCTCTTTTTGGGCATATGTTTGTATATATGTGAGTTTCTCTATCAGTGCACATAGGCAAGGTCATCAGCTTCGGATGGGTGGGCTTGTTGTGCCAGCCTCGAGTGTTCGCTGGGTGTGTGTATGGAGCCAACCATTTACGCCCTGGTGGAGCCAATGGAGCATTTCGATGGGTGCTGAGCAGCTTTGTTAACAATAAAACTAGTTCCATTTGTTGGGCTTAACGGGAAAAGTTAAAGCTATTTATTATGATTCAAAAATTAGTTTGTCTTTTGATGGGATATCAAATTTGGGATCTGGGCTTACTGTTTTGGCAATTTTAGCTAAAATCTATTTTGTTTTTTAATTTTAAAAGGTTATTTTACATACGTTTTATTGGTCATTAATATAAAATGTGATAATAAACTTTTTAAAACCTTAAAAATTAATCTTGGTTTATCTCTTTATGTAAAAACTTTTTGTAGCATACTTTTAAGCCTCATTTTTAGAGATTTTAAATCTAAAACGATAAGTATTCAAATAAGATTACTCAGCAAAACTTCAACATCCTATACATCTTTCTATTTAATATTGAAATTGAATAGATTTCAATGCCAGGAACCCTCGAAACTTTGACATGTTATTTCCATCTTGTTCACTTGAACTGGGATTCGCCCACCCACCTCCTTCAAGTGCCATCCCAGTCGCTTTTCGTTGGGGATTTCGGAGATTTCGGGGATTTGCCGACTGGCGCTCAGATGTCACGGCAGCCACTCGATGGCTGAAAAGCTCGAGGAGCTGAGCTTGAGAGGCTGAGCCATCGACTTGCCACTTTGAATAGCTCTTTACTAATCCTCCTTCATATTGTATCTTTTCTCTCCTTGCAGCCAGTGCGTTTCGCCTTTTTTCCACGCTTGTGACCCGTAGCCCACGTCCACTTTGTGGCGTGTGCAAACCAGAAGCCGCCAAGACGACTTACTCGATAATGAAGATGAGCTCGCCCAGGATCATGCAGCAGAAGAGGAGTAGCAAGTCCTCCAACTCGTCGCGGGTCTCGATGACGACCTCGACGGCGGAGGAGAATCTTCTGGAATCGAAGCTTTTCAGCTGGATGAGGCTCTTCCGCTTCGCCTCGCTGCTCTGCCGCGCCGAGTAACGGACCACGAGATCCTCCTCCCTCCTTCAAATGTTAAGAGAAACGCATATTACAGATACTCGAACTAGTTGCCGCTTTTCAGTCAAATTTTCCTATATATAGAAAGAGAGACACACACACCAAGAGAAACACCCCACAACACGCCCATTTGTCACCTTAACTTTTTTCCAGCAAATGTAGAAAATAAGTATTACAAAATGATTAAGCAAACAAAATCCTACTCCTGCTCCCACAACCACAAGCATAATATTAAGTTTAAGCTGAAAAGCAACAGATATATCCAAATCCAAGAAATATAATGTTAAGTTTAAGCTTCGTTTTTTGGGAGATCGAGACATTTTTCATTCAGTTAAAACAAACTCTTCACAATTAAGTCAATTTTTAGTGTAAACTCCGTTTCAACGGAGTTACTCGCGCCTTTCGTACCTTTTGTATTGTAATAAGTGAAAAAAAAAAACATGGCATATTTACAAATTGCTAACTAAAAGCAAATAAATATTTAAATCGTAATCCACTTATTGCGTTTATTCGGGTTTATTATATTAGTGCTTAAGTTTTCAAGAACAGCCGAACTATAACACGAAGTACATATATTTTTGTAATTACAACACTGTTTTTGCGAGTCACAAGAAACAAACAAGCAAATAGGCAAACACATCATGATGAACCTTTATGCAAGGCTATTAAATAGATAAATATATATATATATATATTAACTAAAGATGCAGGCAAATGCCGTACTAAACAATAATGTAGAGGAATATATTTACACATAAAACAACTCGAATTGAAGGCGGAGTACATGCAAATGCGCTTACCCAACACTGAAACACGTACATACATCCACATCCCGTTCACAATAGTTATCCAGCCCAGCAATATGAAAAGTGCATTTAATCCAAAGAAGTTGCCAATCAACAAACAACAGCCACAAATTGTTAACAACACACAATTAGCAATGCCAAGTGCAATAGTGGACATAAGCAAACCTCTTTAATTCCATATACTATAACCTCAGATTAACAAATGAACAACTACATACAACATCAGATAAATAACAAACAACAACAAAGTTATCAGAGATTTTCGAAATTTAAATTTACTTATTAATTAGTTAGTAAGCCGAAAATGCAACCATGCAAAATGAACATAACGGTATAATAACGGTAATTGCCAAAAAACCATGAGATCAACTGTACTAGAATACATACACACTAGCAATACATACAACTGCAGCAGATAAATGTTGAGAAAAATGCAATAAATCGGATATCGATCAAATAAATAAAGTCTTTAAGCTGTTGAGTGTTCAATGCAATTCAAGCTTTCCGTTGGTGTTTTTTCATTTATTTGGGTGTGTTTTTTTATGTTATGCTTTTGTTATTAAATCTACAAGTGCATATTTATTAATTTTTGCTATAGAGGCGCCAGATTCATAGAGCCGTATGAAGGGTATAATATATATAGACTAAAATTTATATATTTGATACTTTCCGTTTTTTCTTAAATATTTTTTGAATCAAACGGCACTGCCAGATATTCTGTTTTCTATATTTCTGTGACGAGTGGCAGCTCTGCTCCAATAAGAACATCGCGGACGTGAACCTGGGTGTGGAAATTAGGTACTCACGCAGAAGCTAATTTTCCTACCTTGTTTACAACAAAGTCAACAACCATTTTAAAGTGAGAACAAAAATATCGCGATATATATTCATTTTTAGGAAATATCGATGTGATTTTTTGATATATTATCAACAGCCATACTAATCAAATGCAAAAACAAACAAAAGTTACGGATCGGCGGACTATATCTCGTGCTCTCGATGTGAACCTGGCGCGTTGCGCATAATAAATAATATAAATCAAGATACCAGAAACCGCTTATCAGTGAATTCGCTTGCAGTTGCATAACTCGTTGCCAAAAAAAGAAAGAAGGAAAGAAAAAAATAACAACACTAACACGTAAAAAGTTCTCGTAAGGTTTTCGTGGCGAAGGAGACGACAGAAAGAAAGCTCGAAAAACAAGGGGCGAAAGGAGAGTGCAGTTAGTGCCCCCTTTGGGGCCCGCCGCCGCCGCCACCCCCACCGGTCACCCCGGCCCCCCTCGACGCCCACGCGACGTGCCTTATAGGAAGTATTTTTTCGGTTTTGTGTGCGCGTTAATTGCTCAGGAATTGCGTTACGTATTCCCGCAAGACCCGCAGAGGAGCGAAGAGCAAACTATGGCCCAGAATACAGCAGATACCTTCATCCATCTGATTGCCGGCGGGTAAGTGGCGATATGGAGAATCTATTAATTCTAGACTTAAAGCTCCGCTGTTGTTGCTGTTGCTATTGCGTCTTATCGCAGGTCAGGCCATCGTAGCGCAAACCGGTTTGCGGGCGACTTTGCAGTTGAATTCCACAAGAAACGTCGCAATTGCGATTAGATTTAGTTTGGTTTCAATTCGCGCAAATGAACATTTTTGGCGCCACTGCCAAATAAAACAGAAGAAAGGCCGAAAAGAGCAGTAAAAAACACGCTCCGTTCACGTGTTTTCCTCTCGCTGTTTCTTCTTTTTTTTATTACGGCAACCGACAGCTGGCGAAATCACAGGCGAGATAAATGAAATAAGTAAATAAAATGTATGAAATACATATTTATGTACTTATGTGCAACCAACAAACATATGTAAACACAAAAGTTGTAGTTTTTCCCTTTCCTTATCCATTTTCTCGGTTCATTTCCCCAGGCACAATGTCCAATTGGATTTCAGAGCTTCAATTATTTTGTTATTGTCGCGCTGTTATTACTTTTATTGTCGCTTTTATGCTGGCTATTTTTAGACGCGTCGCGCCGCATCTGATTTTATTTTTGTTTTTACCTGCACCCTACACACACACTCGCCCGGCATATTGGCTGCACCGAACATGTGATAGTGTGTGTGTGGTTGCTTCTTTCTCGCAACCAGTTTTGTTTTTGTTGCGAAGAGAGTGGAGAAGGGAGTCCGAGAGCGAGAAGGGAAAGGTGAAGTGCAGCTTATTCGCTGTTCTCTTTCTGTGTTCCGGTGGGAAGAAAGGAGGGAGGGAACAAGGGAATGAAACAGTCAGGTGCCGAGCCTCTTGTCTTTCGGGAAATGCAAATTTAATGGGGGTTACGAAAACAACAGAGTTTGTTTTTACGAATATAATTACGTTTCTTGTGCAATTTTTTTAATTTAATTCTTCTTGTCAATATTGAATTCGAGTAAATCAGCTACAAATTTCAAATGATTTTTATAAATTAAACATTAAACTTAATATTCTTTTTTCTAATCAAAATATTTCACTTGATAGTAAAAATATAAACAGTGTAGCATTTGATTTACTTTGATTAAACTGTAACCTTGACTACTGGGGGGCCTTTTATCTGACCTCTGGCAAAGTTCTAGTTGCTGATTGTGGCTGTCAATCGTCGTCGATCCCCTCCGAATGCTTTGTGAGCTCTGCGAGCCCCTGGGCAGTTTGCCGGCCGGCAGCTTAAGCCCCCTCTTATCGGCAACAACAACAGTGGTCGCAAGTCATTCTTATTTAAACATATGTATCCATGTTTGTTTTGTTTACATATCTGCTTAGTATATAGTATATACCTTAACTAGAGAAACTGTAGCAGAGTAAAAGGAATTCACGTTGCAACTTGAGCTGCCTTAATACCCTTAGTTTGTTTTTTAGACCCCCCCTTTGTTGGGTATCTCGTGTCGTTACACGTTGGAAATAAGGGAAACAATAAAATAAAAACAACCTTGCCTGTGCCGCCCACATTGTTATCGCTATAAATAAGCCGCAAAGCAAACAATTAAACGACATGCATCCCATCTAATCAAGCATCAGAGAAGCCTCCAAAGGCGAGTCTTACATAAGCTACTTTTTGTCTATGATAGAAAGAATGTTAAATGGGTTAGAAAAACATTTACTTTGGCCACAAATTGTTGGTAAATAAAGGTCTAAATGTGGTATTGGTTTTTTGACATTTAAGAACTATACTATATTAGGTATCCCCCAATTAGAAACATTGTTAAATAGGTTCAGACAGCTGAGAAGACAAATTCCCTCAATGTTTTCGATTTGGCAAAACAACACACATTGCACATTTTTATATTTTCCCTATACTATATATTGCATTGTGTGTTATTTTATTTTGCCTACATATTTCGCTGTTATTTGTCTAGAAACAAATCTAAATTGAGCTTGGCAAGCGATTTCGATTTTGTTTTGGTTTTTCAGCGAGACAACAACCCAGGCAGGCGGGCAAATAAACTTTTTCTGGCACACTGACTCAGTTGAAGGCGAAATGGATGAGTGAATTGCAACAAACAACACACACTGACCAAGGTGTTTTCGAACCCATACATAGATAAGATAGATAGCCCCCCCTCTCTAAAGGCAAACCAAAACAATGTCACTTGCAGTGTGTGAAATTCCTTGTCTACTAACTTATTTATAGCCTAGTTTTGTTGGCCATTTCTTGGTGAGATTTCATAACCATAACCCGAAATTTTCCATCAGCTGGGATTTGTTTACAATTTTTTTTTTGTGGTTGCTTTTGACCCGGCCCAAAACGTTGAAAACGTTTTCTCTCTCTATGCTTTCGATGTTTTCATTGCCTTGCCTTCATGTCTCTTCGCACGTACGCATATTTTAGAGAATTTGTTATGCATTCAAGAGTCTTAGTCAAGGATGGTCGTCTTAAAGGCTAAAATAGAAGGTGTTTCCCGGTAAAAGAAGAAGAATGAATAGACAAAGTCAAAGCTAAAATGTGATAATAATTATTTTATATTGTTTCCTTTTAATTTTCTTACTTTTCTATATTTATTTTAGGTTTATTTAGTTTAAAGTTTATAAACCGGGTTCTTTAAACCTAAAATTGTGTCAAGGGCGCCTTAATTAAATTTACTCTTGATCTAGACACATTTTTAGAATCTTTAATATGAATAAAACATATAAACAACACACATATATATTCGAAAAGAAATCAAAAACAGAATGAGGGAAGAATATAGAAGGTCGCGTGCCAAGTTTATTTCAAATTCTAGCCACAAAATAAACCATCTAATGGGATATGTATCTCTATTTTTAGGCATCCTTAACTGCAACATTTAATTTCCTTAAAATCTTAAAATAAATCCTCCATTATCTAAATGTAATTTTCTTTTATAACCCGCAAAACCTTCAATTCCTTTGACCCATAAACAGAGACATTGAAAATTTTCCATAAATGTCGTAATCTTAGGCAAAAGCAAACAAATAATAGAAGGTACAAAATAGCAGGAGTCTAAAAAATTGGCGATGATAAGGGGGAAACTTCAGTCTGCGAAACGCAAAAAGCCATTGAAATATGCGTACTTTTTCGGTTGATAAGCAAAAGTCTCCCCGCCAAGACAGAACCTTATCAGCTTCGAGTTGAGGTAGGGGGGTAGAACAGGTGGGTCCAGAGGAGAGGGGAACCTCCTCCCTGGACAAAAGTCACCCCAGCAGAGGCTGACGCATGCATGGGTACAAGAAATATTGTATGTACATACCATGTGGCCATAGACGATGGTGTCTGCGGGTCCAAAATTTCCACTCTTATCGTTTGTAGCGCGTGTATTTTCGGGTACAAATACACCCGACAATGTCAAAGAACAGATAAATCGCACATTAACCGGTTGCAAATTGCACGAAATTCGCACATGCATCCCATAAAGGCCATCGATCGGGCATATATATATAAACATATATAGCAATTAGCTATGAGAATCTGTGCGAATTGGTCTGTATGTACTTGATTCACATGTTTCACACATGAAAGATTGCTTTCTTTTCAAAGGAATTCAATCGTTAATAGCTTGAAATAATATTTATTTAAATTGGTTTTATTTGAAATTGCTTACATATAATGATGACTGTCTTTTAAGACATTTGTTATAAAAAAACGTGATTAGAAGGATGATTTTGTAGCAATCTAAAGTAATAATCAGTTGTGGGAAGGGAATAAATTGATACGTTGGAATTAAATTTCTGAGAAGTAGAATAAAATGACTAGATTAGGGAGAAATATTTAAGCTAATATTTGTTTTATTAATTAATTTAAAAATATTTAATGCTAAATATACTTATTTTAACTCTAGATATAGGCATGAAATTACAATATTATATATTTAAAAAAAAGCTTATGCAAACTTTACCTATATATCTATAAAATGATAATGAATACTGTGCGGTAGAGGCCAGGCAGTGACATTTACTGACTTGAGAAGGCAGGGCTTTGGGTTCTATAGTTTAAAATGCAATAATATTATTAGTAAATTTCCCAAACCCTATTCCAAGTCTAAAAATAAGGCCTTATTCTATATATTTAATTATTCAATTTCCAACTCTCATTTCTCACACATTAATCTTTAATTCATCACCTCTTAGCCAGTTTACACTTGGCCCATTAATCACCTCATCCCCGTGTCATTCAACCGTGCGTAATTAGCTTTAATTCCGTTTTAGTCCAGACTTATCCTTGGACTGTTTGTCCAACTGTCTGACTGTCTGTTGTGAATAGCTTTCAGGTAGGCACGACCAACAGTTTGCTTTAGTTTCGCGTGATGGTGACAGGCAGATGCTAATTGAAATTCAATAGTCGGTAAGGAGCTTCCCGTTAATGCATTGATTAAATGTGATTAATTTATATGGGGTAAAAGTTGGTGAAATTATCTGTTGAATTATTTAATTTGTTAAGGCAGCAAGCCCAGCATATGGTGGCGTGTTCTCTTCACCAGGTTTCAGGGCAATTATGTCATAGTCTCATACCAGATTCAAAGCGGATCGGGCATCCATAAAAGTACTATATATATTTTATTTTAATGGACGTGGCCGGCCGGCCGTTGTTAGCTGATAAGCGGAGCAGCCAGCTCACATGGCTTGGCTTTGTCCGGCCCGGCTATTGCAATTCATCCCATCCGCTGGCGGCATCAAAGGTTATCATTGATGTAGGAGGGTCAATACCCAACCGGTTTCGACTGGATTATGCCCTGGCCTCATCGCAATCGCCGCCAGATTGGCGAAATTATATACAGGGAAAAGTAAAGTACCCCAGTTCACTAGCCTGCTGATTATATTCTTGATTTTTCCCTAGGATTCAGAAAGAGATTTTCTCGTGACAGAGCTTCAACCATCGATCAAACTTTTCTCCTGCCTTTGTCATTTTGTTTCCTCATTCTTTTCCTTTGTTGCATAACTTTTCTTCTTTCCCCCTTTTTTTGCGAGTTTATTGCCTTGATTTTTTTTTTATAAATATAAGCGAATAATAATTTCTGGAATCCCAGTTGCCAACTGGCAATTTACACAATTCTGGCAATCACGAGTTATGCTTCTGCAAATATGTTTATTCGTAGATAATGAAGCGATTCGGCTTTTATCACAAGTTAGCGTGTGTTTTTTGTTGATATTGATAGAGGCAATCAGAGTTGTGTTGGCTTTTTGGGAAAGGTCGTGTATAATTAATTATCTAGAGCATACTCTTGTTTTTTTCGGAGCTGTAAACAAACAAATTTTAATCTAGAAATAACTTTAAAGTCAAGGTTATGAACTTTGAGTAATGTTCTAACGTATTGTTGTTATTTTGTTTAACACTGAACTATTGTTAATTTAGTTTAGGAACTCTGTTTCGTGTTTGCTGGCTCAATTTCCCTTACACATTTCCATTTTGAGCAATTTCACAATTCAGTAAACAATTACCTGACCTTGATTGCCTTCATGCACTTGGAATTCAAAATGAATTCAAATAGAAAATTTTCTATAATTCGCTTTGATGGACATGACGCCTCCTTCCACTCTGCGATTATCCAGACCGCAAATAACCCTCCTTCATATTGCATTTGGCGAAATGCACTTCATTTCCGAGGCAGCCAATCAAGAATGCCTCTGCCCTGTGCACTCATATTCGATTTGTAATTGGAATGGGACATGCCACTTATGTGTGTGTCTGTAGTTAGCAGCTATACTAGATGGTTGAGGAGGAAAAAAAACAGACATTTTTAGCCAGGGAATTGCGCAATTCAAAGAAATACGAGTTTGGGAAATAGATATTTTCCTGCATGGTCGTCGATTCTTGCCAAGAAGTGTGATTTATTTTTATGATAGTTGAACATGTGGGCGAAACTGAAAATGGCAGGCATACATTTACTCAAATCACTTTACTTTTGGTTTGTCTTTTATTTATATCCACTTGGAGATGTTTGCAATTAGATTTAAACATTGAACTTGAGCTGGTTTTATCATAAATCTAATTTTATTATGACTACTATGGGAGTTACTGGTGATTTAAAGCTTAAAAAATAATAAATTATTGAGTGTTTGCTACTTAACTCTACTCTTAATTGACAATTACTCATATTAATACAATATTTCCACTTCCAGTTCCGCTGGCACTGTGGGCGCTGTGGTCACATGTCCATTGGAGGTGGTCAAGACGCGTCTGCAGAGCTCCACAGCCTTCATGACGCCGGCTCGTGTGGTGGAGAATGCCGGCGGACCGGCGAATGGCGGGCAATCGGAGCTATTGCGGCCGGAACAACGACGTAAGCTAAGCACAACGATATTACGTAACAGATCACAGCCACAGGTGATTGGGGGTGTGCGTAGGGTAGTACCAAATTCTTTTTTACCTATTCTCTCATACTCATACCCATAATGCCGCCATAAGCCACATCTTCTAACTATAGCTTGAGCGCAAGCACTGCCCACATCTTCGATACCTTCATCTCCATTGACCCTAATTCAGTTTATTTGAGTTACTAATTCGTTTTCTTATTTTACCCTTTTCCAGATTATGGCCATTTCGCATTGTGGCATCTCATCGACAACGCCAAAATCCATGAGCATCGTCCAGTGTCTAAGGTGAGATAGTTGATATTTCTTACTAGAGATTAAAGCTCGAAATGAAATCGATGAAATTATTAAATAATCGATTTTTTCGATTGAATAGAAAAAGGTTTAAACGTATGTAAACTTGTGGAAAAGTTAAAAACAATGTTGAGAATTTTTTTTTATTTAATATTTTGAATTATTATATTATTAAAAATAGATTTACTGAAAATCGATTTATTTCCAGCTCTATTAGATATAAAGAAACATCGATTAACGATTTAAAATCGATTTTTCTATACAAAAATATCCGCAAATTTGAATCGTTTTCATTTCTAGTATTTTTAATGTATATTTTATATCTTAACTTTATTTATTTCTTCGTTTTTTTAGACATATTGTTCAGAACGAGGGTCCTCGGGCTCTGTTCAAAGGTCTCGGTCCGAATCTCGTGGGCGTGGCCCCCTCCCGTGCCATCTACTTCTGCACCTACTCCCAAACCAAGAACACGCTCAACAGTTTAGGGTAAGTCCTTGACCCATTACTCCACGAATTATCCCATTTAATTCTATGATTTATTCTTCAGCTTCGTTGAACGTGACTCGCCGCTGGTCCATATAATGAGTGCTGCCAGCGCTGGTTTCGTTTCCTCCACAGCCACGAATCCCATTTGGTTTGTAAAGACAAGAATGCAGCTGGACTATAATTCCAAAGTCCAGATGACGGTGAGGCAGTGCATCGAGCGGGTGTATGCCCAAGGCGGCATTGCAGCCTTTTACAAGGGTATCACCGCCAGCTATTTTGGTATCTGTGAAACCATGGTGCACTTTGTCATCTACGAGTTTATAAAGTCCAAATTGGTGAGTTTATATTTGGATTTAAAGTGTTTATGATGGTCTTTTAATCATTTATATTATTTTTTATTAGCTGGAGCAGCGAAATCAAAGGCATACAGACACCAAGGGCTCACGTGATTTCCTGGAGTTCATGATGGCCGGCGCCGTGTCCAAGACAATTGCCTCCTGCATCGCCTATCCCCATGAGGTGGCTCGCACGCGTCTGCGTGAGGAGGGCAACAAATACAACTCCTTTTGGCAGACCCTTCACACGGTGTGGAAGGAGGAGGGCAGAGCAGGACTGTATAGGTGCGTAGAATTATATTTAAGAGGGGGGGATTTTTATTTACTTAAGTTAATCAGAATTTGGTGATAAGCTAGGGTGATTTTTCATTTAAAATGTTTGTTTTAAAGCATTTTAAACAGGGACTGCCAGGGACAGTGCTTTTGCCATTGAATTGTAAAGTATTTCCATTAGATTCAAAGGGAATCCCATGTCAGGTCTCAGACACCAGTTGATACAAGGGGAATTCCATATAAATATATAAAAGTTACTCTAGAAATACCCATTTTGTATTTAAAAAATAATCTTGATAAAAATATCTATTTCCACAAGATCTTAAATAAGAATCAAGCATTTATAAACCAACACGGATGCGCAGCCAAAATTTTTTACTCGGTCATTGCTAATGAATTATCATAATGCGCCACCCACGAATTCGCGATACAGCCACCCGCCTGCCGCGCCTTTCCCGGCATGAAAATCTATTTAAATTCATTCTTTTGCGTCGCATATTTTTCTGTTTGTTTACCTTAATTTGATTAGCACTAGCAAGCAAGCTAGCGAGCTGTCTCTCCGGGGTGCCTTAAATGATTACTACTATTTGCAGAGTAATTCATCCACTAATTGTGCCATCTGTTTGTATTATTTTCCATTCCACAGAGGCCTGGCCACGCAGCTGGTGCGACAGATACCCAACACGGCGATCATGATGGCCACCTACGAGGCTGTTGTCTATGTCCTAACCCGGCGCTTTAACAACAAGTCGAACGAGTTTTACGACTTTTAGGGAGAGAATCCCAACTAAGAAGTTAACACGCAACGACGACGACGACAAGGAGGAACCCAATCTGTGCATATGTAGACGCGACTGCTGCAACTTAACTGTAATCGTAAACCCCGTTTTTTGTAGACGATCTAAACCAACGAGCGCAAATTCTGAGTTAACTAGCTTCTAAGTCACAACCAAAACGCGAAAACGAACTCAATAGACTTGAGACGTTAGACGTTGAACGATCGAAGTCCACCCACTTAACCCTTAATCTGCTCTATAGAAAGGACGATCCGCAAATAGCTGTCTGCACAATGATAGTTTTGTTCGATGGATTCACCGGAAACGTTATCAAAATTTTGAAAAGGCTGCTATTAAGTTAAAGATACAAAATATGTATAAATGTGGTTGATATTTTAATAAAAAAAAACAGAAGAAATAATGTAAATATAGGATTCAATTCGCTCAGAGTGTATTGTAAATAGATAAACAAAAAATGAGTCAGTCGACTGGCGTACGCAATAGCTCCCCTAGTTTTTGTTAGTTTCTAAGCACAAAAAATGTTGAAGCCGACCGTAACCGATACGTAACTCTAATCGTAATTGTAAACGTTCACGTTAAGTTTCCTCAAATGCGATATAAATTTTAGTTACTCTTAAAGCATACTTCCGATTATCATTATGATTATTATTATTATTATTATTACTATTACTATTATTATTATTGCTGTTTATTTAGTCCATTAGTTGATTAGTTTAGTGAGCTCTTGGCAAGAGCTGTAGTTGCCCCCCAAAACCGTATTTCATTGATAACAAAGAGCAAAGAATGAAGAAAACTACTGTGAATAATTGATTGCAATCTGATTTAATGGTGAAATCAATAAATACAACAATTTTGTTTAAAAATACTTCTCAAGCGTTTTTATTGTTTAATGCCGCTTGAAGACGCACAATCTTATCAACAAAACGAACGAGTCTGCACACCCTTGAACATAGTTCAACTTGAAAACTCAGACGGAAGATAAGGGTTTGAGCTACTGGCTACTATTATTCATGAACAATAAACAAGTACTAGTAATTTATAGAAAAAACAATATAAAAACAATTCCCCGACAAGATTTCAAAAATAGCGCCCTGTCTTAACATCCTCTCTGGTCCCACTAACCAACCATTCGATTGCTTGCGCTTATCGATAACCTGTTAAATCAACAGGTGATCGATCGCAGCAAGTGCCATCGCTAAATTCCAACAATTTTCAGTGTTTACGTTTCGAAAAGTGCCACAAAAAAATAAAACTTGAAAAAACCCCACTTAAATTCAAGTACTAAACTCAATACAAGCACCCACTTTAATAGCAACTTAGTGAGCACCTAAAGATCACCTTAGTTAACCCGATAAAAGAGAAATTTGTGCAATTGGAGCAACTGCGAAGCGCACACGCAAAAGAAACCAAGACATTGGAGAACTACATAGTTGACACCCATTCCGCCGCGGCCATGCAAATCGATGCGATCGAGCTGCTGCTGATCACCTAGCTGTGCGAGTCGGAGACCCAGCATTGAGATGCTGCTCAGCGAGACCCACTTTTGGACTACGCTGCGCGATGAGGTGCGCATCAAGAGCAACGACCTGGGCGCCTTTCGATACCTGCGCCAGCGGGAGAAGGAGCAAGAGCAGCAGGATCTCACCACATTGGCCAAGCGGGACTATACAGAACGGCGGAATGGGCTGGCCGTGCTGAAGAACAGCAGTCGCAAGGCGGCTGGTCGCCTGAAGGATAACCTTAAGAAGCTGGAGGATCTCCTCAGACAGCATCGTATCATTCACTCCGAGTGGCAGGATGCGGCCCAGGTGCTGCTACTCTTTGCCAATGGATTAATAACCCATATTTGTGTGGATATCTATACGGGGGATATACTGCGCATGGTCTTTGAGAAGTATCTGGTGGGCAAGCTGGCCGCCGAGGTCATCACTGATGGTAAGTCGAGGGAGAGCTTTGATTGATTTATTTGTAAGATACTCTTTCGATTGGATCAAGTCTATTGCCCTTACCATCAATTCATGTTTAGTGTTTGTTTTCGTTGATTAAAAGTATATTTCGGTGTCTGAAAGTAGCAGAAAAACACAATTTAAAGATTTAATTTAGGGTTTTTATAATTATAATCTAATTATTTACATGTTTATTAATTTTGTTTGACTTTAAATCCAAGAAAAATAATTTTTGGGAAGCCAGAAAAAATTCTATCGATTTAAAATCAATTTAAAAAGCATCCAAAAGTATGCAACGTTCAATTTTAGAATTGCATTTTATTCAATCTTTTAATATTAATTCTATTTTACTTAAAATCCAAGAAAGATTGAAGTATTTTTAGACAAATAGACAAATTTTTGGGACCCCTGATGATTTCTTCTCCCCTATTATTCTTGGTAAATTCATTTACTTAAATGTTTTTTATTTCTAATTTATTTATTTATTCAATATAAATTAACAAGAACCTAAAATCCCGCCCTATAATAATAATAAGCTCATGCATAAAACCACAATTTCATATTTTTCTCTAAACGATCCCTGGTTGTCCTCGTTAAAATAAGTAGTAGGAATAAATCTCACACGCCCTGGACTTCCATTACAGTGAAAACATGATTTGATAAAATCTAGCCTTCTACCCTTCCCTTCAATGTGCGCGTGATTAATGGCAATTGAAGTCCATAATCCCGGCGCTATATGCGTTGCTTTAGGGTATAACTCTCTTCCATATAATATCCATGGTATCTTGGTCTTGCACTTGAGAGACCGCGCTGCTTTTGTGGCTTGTGTGTTGTGCAGTTATGGAGAAATTTGCATTGGCAACAAGTGCGACTTGATTTGCACTTTCCCACACCAACACAGCCGCACGCACACACCTGTGCAGGGGCATGGGCATGCAATTATTGTAATTTTTAATTAATCTGCTTGCTTGTTTTGTTGCCTGTAAATATGCGAACCTTGCTATCCCCTCTCAGCTCAGATTATTCCATGCCACGCCCCTCACCTTTCCATAATTTTGTTCGAGGCACTCATTCAGCTTTGTCGCTTGTGTTTTTGTTTCTGTTTTTTTGTTGTTGTCTTGTGCTGTCAGCCTTTTTCACCCGTTCCCACATCGTCTTGGCCTACAATACCAACCAGCTGACGGTGGTTCATCTGCAGCGACCGAATGCACGTTCGCAGGGACCGGAGAAGATTGCCAATATGGATCCGCGCATCTTCCATGTGATCATACCAGGAGCCACAGAGCGCAAGCTAGCCCGCCATCTCACCGTCAATGGCAGCTTTGATCTGTTTGTGGTGTGGACACAGTCGTCGCAGAACGAGGTCTATCCCTGGAGGCCAACTATCCGGGATCAGGATCGAGCCAATATACATGTGTTCAAGATCAAGGGGTAAGTAGGGGATATTTTTTTAGATTTAGAGCTTATATAAAAAATTGAGATAATAATAAGCTTTTAATATTAAATATATGGATAATATATTCTTATCCCTCTACCCTTAGCTTGCAGCTGGAATCCATGGCTTATTGCTGGTCGGAGAACGATCCTTTGTGCGTTGATTTTCTGCGTAGCAGCGAAAGCCAAATTATTACGTTGGAGCAGAAGGTCTCCCGCAAGGGAGACATCAGTGCGGAGATCTGCTCGTATGAGTTGGCTGCTGGAAAAATGCAGCGCACTGCCATTACCTCGATACCCATGGGCGCCCAAATCTGCTCTTTCGCCTTTAGTCCCGACCAGGAGAAGCTCTTTCTGGGCAGCATAGATCGCAACATCTGCCTGCATGACCTGGTCCAACAGTCCACGAAGTACGCCAATCAGATTGAAATTGTGCCCAATCAGTGTGCTTGGCACTGTGACTCCGCCATGTTGTGTGTGGCCAACGAGAGATCGGTGCTGCAGTGTTTCGACCTGGCCCTGGCCACCATTGGCCATCAGTTGGTCAGCGAGAGTGTGACTCCCTCGAGCTTGATGGATCTCTCGCATTACTTTGTGGCCCAGCCTACACTTTTGAGAGTTGATTTTAGTAGGAAACCGGATTTGGGCACGTTCAAGCACACCTACGCCCAAACGGATTGCCTGCTCTTGCTGATCTATGAGCAGGGACCGCTGGCCTGCATGCGTCTGTTTGGTGGCGCTGGCATGCGTGGCGATATCCATAATTCTGGCCTAACAGCCGATGTCATAGCGGACAAGTACCTAAGGCTACAGCAGCCGGAAAGAGCGGTGAATGTCCTGGCGGCCTTGAACTGGGAGACCTATGGTGCCATGTGCCTGATTACCCTACACAAGATAGCCAACTATGTGTTCTTTGGCGGGGATCAGCGTCGGCCGCGTATAGAGCTGATGGCCAGGGCCCTGAAGACCTTTGCCCGCACGCTTTCGGAGGAGACTAAAGATGAGTTTAGCGATCAGGTTTATGATTTGAAGCGACGCTTTTGCTTTTTTCTAATGCGGTAAGTTAAGCTTTGAGGCTTAAAATATGAATTTCCTTAATTTTAAAAATATATTTCCAGTAAAAACCTATTTCCTGAGGCCTTGGAAATCGCCCAGGATGTGGCCGACTATGATATCTTTATGGATCTGTATAATCTAACCAAGTGCATAACCAGTTTGGGTGAATTTGCTCAGCTGGCATTCAGTCAGGCCGCTGCCATAATCCAGGAGGAAGATCGTGCCAATGGCAATCTCAGCTTGACCTGTGACCTGCGCTCGGAGTCGGCCTGTTCGGTATCCACCTGCTCGGATTTGGGGCGTAGTCAGCCGCAGGCCCTTAAAAACTATGTGCCACCACTGCCCTCATTCAAGTCGAAGGTTTTCAATGCCGAAATGATCAAGATTAATATACCCAAGCCGGAGCTAAGGCCACCGTTACCTAAGGTTTCGTTAGCTCAAACAGCGATGACTTCCTTAGGAGGCCTTAACCTGAAGAACAGTACATTGCAGGCAACGCCAGCCAAGAGTGCCAGCTCAAATGGTAAGAAAATATGAATCAATTCGCATTATAAGATATTAATATCCCCTTGATTCTCTAGGCAATGTCTGGTCCCAGGATGTACCAGATCAGACAGTGGGCTTGCCCATGCCCAGCAGTCCTCCAAGCCGGCCTCAGCCCTCTTCGATTATCCCCGAGCAAATCCCGCCTCTTGGTCCATTCAACAGCTTGGGAACTTCGCCGCCTCCGCCCTTGGTTTCTGTAGTTCCAGTGGTTTCATTGGCTTCAGTGCCTCCAGCCAATGCCTACCAGCCCAAGTTCTACCAGCATCCTCTGGTTTCTGGCAACATACCCGCCATGCTGCCCACCATGAGCAGCGAGGATTACCAAAAGCGACTGCTGCTCAAGAAGCCCACGGCTTCCATACTCTCCAATCCAGCTAATCCTGCGCCCAGCAATGGCGAGGCAGGAGGCGGTACAACCAGTGCCAAGTCACAGACGGCAGAGAAAAACAAAGTCAAGTTCTCGGACACCATACAGGTGGCTGTAGTGCCGGTAAGCTAGGAACTCCATTGTGTTTGGAAACTGTTATACAAAGTAGTTGTTATGCCTCTTCCCCTTAGGAGATTCCACGCAAAGAAAAGCCCATGCCGCCCAAGAGAAATGGTTACTCCAGACCCGCAGCGCGGCATTTGACAAATCCCAAGAAGGAGCTGGCCGACAGCTTGCCACTATGCCATCCCAATGATGAGTATTTAAAGGATTTTAATCCCATAACCACAAGTAAGTCTCATTCTATAGATCTCTCTCAGTTTTCCTTGGTTTTAACCTAAACTTTTCTTCAGATATGACCAAGCCTCCAGCGAGACGTCGTGATGAGGAGCCAAAGCAAAGCAGCAGCAAAAACCCCAACAACTCTTCCTCCTCCTCATCCATCAAGGTGGTGCATTTCGGTGTGGTCTAAGCTGATAATTATTAGTGCAATTCCCCCAAGTTTAATTATTCTTTAGAATAAGAAGCGTCTTCCACTTATTTTTAGTAACTAATTGCCGTCCTTCCACTTAGTGCAAAGCTTTAAATAGGAAAGTTTTTTACTTATAGGTTCTTTTCTCCACACTTTATACACCTTAGCATTAAATGTTTGCCAAAAAAAAAAAGCGAATCCTACTTCTTTTTGGTGGTAGAAGGTCCACCCATGCGATCCAGTTCGGATTTGAGGTCCAGCAGCTCCTTGTCTGGCACATAGCGTCGCTCCTCGCAGTCATCGGTGTGCTCCTCGACCCTCAAACTAACACCCTCGGGCAGGGCTGACTGGGCTATGCGCAGGAATTGTGGATAGACTGGGGCATCCACATTGTTTAGCTGCAGGTTCCGCTCGTAGGTGGTCAGCTTGTACTCGGACTCGATCACCGTGGAGTTCGGCCGCAGGCGCTGGACCTGCGTTTGCTGGGGAGGCAAGGCATAGCAATCGGAGACATCCAGTTCCAAGTACTCGGCCAGGCCATGGAGGAAGCGCTGGTAGCTCTCCAGCTGGGGATAGTCATAGCCCTTGATTTGTACATTGAGGCTTTCGTATTGCGGGAATTTTGGTTTGAGGGACTGAAAGAGAGAGTAAAGTAATTATTTAAGATACATTTTGGGTCTAGGACACCGGCAAAGACCCACCTCCAGGTAATCCGGCTCGTAAACACTGCCGCTGGTGTTTCTCACAGCCACAGATGTGACCTTGGGCGCCTGCAGGGCCAACCTTGCACTGGGTATTAGCTAGATAAAGTAAATTAATATATTTTTAATACAAACTTTAATACAATTTAAAGGTTTATTTACTTTTCTTAACATAGTCACAGTTCGAAATCACGTTATGTCACCTAGGGATGGACAGCAATCGATAGCCCTATCGATAGATTACAGCTTTAACCGAACTGGTCACACTGCCCCCGTGTTTTTGTTTTCCCCTCAGCTCCGGTCACATTCGTCAAAACCAGGCAGAAATAATACTTTTTATTTATTTAAGCCCAACACGTCAATTCGAAATGCAAAAAAGGTCAACGCTTTTTGTAGTCGCGTTGGCGCTGCTCTCTGCTTTAGGAGGAACGCAAGCGAAATCGGATCCGGGCATTGTGGACATTCCGGTGAACTCGGTGAGTAGTTGCTTCTTTCCCCCCCATTTCTACCCCCGCGGAGAATCTCAAATGGGGAAACAAAACAGATTTGTGTATGCGGCATATGTTCCGGCTACGTAATTAATGTTATCCTTTGTTCTTTAGTTGATACCCAACATCAGGCAACAGCGTCCTCTGCTGGGTAATTCCAAGATCTATGTGAAAAGTGAGTACTTTGCAGGCGGCAACGTGTGACGAATGCTTATTGCCTAAAGTCGCACAACCCCTAATAACCCCCCAACCCCTGGTTATTCTAGTAACGGGATGCACCTCCAAGGTGGAAACAAACCTGACCATAACCTTCCAGCTGACGAAGCATCCTTGCATCTACGATGATCGTCTGGTGAGTAGCCTCTTGAATCCTGTCTTTTTGGCCATTCTTGACTCTGTTCTTTTCCAGCTGGAGGCCATTGCTCAAGACCCCTCGCTACAAAGTAATGCCTCCATCAATAATGTCTTGACTGTGGTCAAAAAATCGTATGCCTGCAATGGTCTTATCGTTTTGGTGGCCCCGCTGCCTGAGGGCGTTACTGGGAAACCGGAACCGAAGCATCCCATGAAGGAGAACAAACATCCACTTTCGGTAATGACTCAGCGAAGAAAATTACAGGCAAAAAGAAAGATATGTGGGCTACACACAGTTCTTATCAGTAACACAGGCGCAGTCCCAGTGTTGGGCTTATCGGTTTCCCCTAGGGAGGGTAGCACCTTGCGGGAATACTATACTGAATTTATAGAGAATCAATCTGATTTCATTAGGAATTTTGAGAACTTTTCCCCATTTGATTTCTGTAGAAATTAAGCTGGTTTTAGGAAGTTCTATGATTCATTTAAAAGGTCAGCTTTTAGTGTTATACTGTTCTATATTATTAGTTATTCATATACCCCGGGGTATAACCTAGTCTTAACTACTTATTATAGGTTTTTGTAGACTTTAGGAAGCCCGGAATACTGATAAATATTGTACTTAACACGCCTTGTTATCACTCATTTCAGGGAAAACTTCATGTTTATGTTCAATAAACCCTTTTTATCACTTGCAGCCCACAACAAACCCCATTGCAAGCGTTGATGAGGATGGCATCTATGAGATTGAGATTGTGATTTCCCCAGAGCCCCGTGCTTCCGAGTTTAGTGCCATTGTACACATTGAATTCCTGGGACCGCACGGTTATATCTCCGCCATAGATTGGCCTTTCCTGCCTGTATGTATTCCTACTTTTACCTTTGTTTATACCAAAATGTGTTTATTTATTTATTGTTTTACAGTTCTATTTAATCATGTGCATTGTTTATGTGATATTCGGCATTATTTGGCTCTTTGTTTCCTTTGCCCAATGGCGGGATTTATTGAGAATTCAGTTTTGGATTGGTGGCGTCATCTTGCTGGGCATGCTAGAGAAGGCCTTTTTCTATGCGGAGTATCAAACGCTGACAAACTATGGCGTGGCTGTTCAACATGCTGAACTGGTGGCTGAGTTTGTGTCCTGTGCCAAACGCACGCTAGCCAGGATGCTGGTCATCATAATGAGTCTGGGCTTTGGCATTGTCAAGTGAGTTGTTGTGATTTTTGATATAAATTATTATATTTTATATTTAATTCTGTTTTTTTAGACCACGTTTGGGACCCATGCTGCATCGTGTTGTGGGCGTGGGCACTCTCTACTTTTTACTGGCCTGCGTGGAAAGCTATTTACGCATAACCAATATAAAAAGTGATCGCAGTGAGCTTTTGGTGGCCAGTATTCCCTTGGCTGTGCTCGACACAGGCATCTGTTGGTGGATCTTCACCTCGCTTGTCCAGACCACGCGCACTTTGAGGCTTAGAAGGTGATTGTTAATAGAAAAATCGTATTATTATGCTAGATTTTCACATATATATATATTTTAGGAATATGGTCAAGCTTTCCCTGTATAGACACTTTACCAACACGCTGATTTTTGCGGTTATCGCTTCCGTCATCTTTATGCTGTTTGCCTTGCGTTTGCGTAGAATCGAGAACTGTACGCCTGTGAGTTAATAGCCGGCCTTTAGCCAGGGATTTACTGTATTTAAATCACTCTTTTTATTGGTTGATTAGGGATGGCGTGACATTTGGATCGATACTGGCTTCTGGCACATTCTATTCTCTGTGTTGCTGCTGGTGATTATGATACTATGGCGACCCACGAATAACAACCAGCGCTATGCCTTCACACCTCTGCTGGATAACCCCGAAGACGAGGACGACGAGGGTAGGTTCACTACCTCAAAAAGGGAACTTAATTAACTTGAATTTCTTTTGTGTTTCACAGACGAAGAAGATCAATTTGTGGCCGATGCCTATGGGGTTAAGATGCGTGGCCAGAATGGCACGCCAAAAACGTCAGTGAACTCGCGAAATGCCACCACCACCGAGGAGGATGACCTGCGTTGGGTGGAGGAGAACATACCCTCCTCAATGGCAGACTCGGCTCTGCCCATTCTCGACTCGGACGAGGAGATTATCAACACCAAGTTCGAGGTCTCCAAAATGCAATAAGCTGTGTTGGGCTGTGACTTTCGCTGGACCTAAAAGAGACTTGAAAAACATTAACACATCCGTGTGTGCTATGTATTCTTACATATTTTTTCATAATCGAGAACGAGGAAAACAATTAGTACTTGACTTTATTTCCCAGCTGCGTTAGTACCAACTCGAAAACCCGTGTAAAATATTGTATTTAACAGTAGTTCCTTCTACAGCACACGTCCTCCCACGAAATAAATTTAACTTATTTATAATACCTAGCCTAAGTTGTAGATAATCTCTAAAAATGCGACGAACCGTAAACTTAATTTACTTTGATTTCTATTCTGAAAACACACAGATTGTTGTCCCCCTCTTTGTATATAACAAAACGATCTATAATAAAACGTACAAGAATGAGGATTCTGTAAAAATTATCATAAAATTCAGTCAAAATCTTTAACTTTAACTATTTACTTGCTGATAAATGAAAACATTTGCAAATATGTCTAAGCCTAAGCACACACACACACACACACACACACACACACACACACACACACACACACACACACACACCTCAATGTATTTAAATATATATATATATACATATATATTTTTAATCAAGCTGTTTAAGAACTTTTCATAAAATAAATGCAAACGAAACTTAAAGGTAGCCGTAAATCAAACAACGTTTTTTTATACCCTTGCAGGGTATTATAATTTCAGTCAGAAGTTTGCAACGCAGTGAAGGAGACGTTTCCGACCCTATAAAGTATATATATTCTTGATCAGCATCAACAGCCGAGTCGATCTAGCCATGTCCGTCTGTCCGTCTGTCTGTCTGTCCGTCTGTCCGTCTGTCTGTCTGTCCGTCTGTCCGTCTGTCTGTCTGTCTGTTTCTACGCAAACTAGTCCCTCAGTTTTAAAGCTATCTGAATGAAACATTGCATATAGTCTTCTATATACTCTCACTGCTATATATGTCGGATCGGACGACTATATCATATAGCTGCCATACAAATGTTCGATATATTTGTAGAAAAAAAATTATAACTTTGCTGTTTTTCAACATTTTTGCACAATTTTTTAGATATGGCCATTCTATATTATTATAGAATTTTGGTAAAAATTTTATGAAAATCGGACGACTATATGATATAGCTGCCATAGGAACGATCGAGAAATAAATAGGAAAAAAATTATAGCTTCGTTGTTTTCCAACGTACATATGTTTATCTTCTCTGAGATATAAGCTTTTTTTATTATTCTAGAATTATGGTATAAATTTCATAAAAATCGGACAACTATATCATATAGCTGCCATAGAAGCGATCGGTAGATGTAGAGAAAATGTAAAGCTGGGAATGTAAAACTGTAACTGTCAAACTGTAAACATAATAAGTCTAGGTAAAATGTAATGAAACTCTGTTTTGTGTGTGTTTTAAGCATTTAAATTTATAATATAAATATCAAAAACAATCTGCAAGGGTATACAAACTTCGGTGTGCCGAAGTTAGCTTCCTTTCTTGTTTTTTTATAACTTCTTATCTGAGTTAAAGTGTGTTATCTCTTGTAAACTTAAGTTATTTATCAAATAAGATAACAAAAGTAATTTCCAGAAAAATTGATAAGGTATTAAACAAGGGAAGGCACTATTTTTATGAAATATTTGCGGGGTTTGTAATCATTTGTATATATAAACATGAAAGTATATTCATTATTTTTAGGAAAAAGACAAAGTTTAAAATGTTTTTTTTTAGAAAATGTTTTTTAAAGAGTAAGAAATTATCTATATTTATTTCAGTGTAGCAACTTTACCACCCCACCTAAAAAAAAGAAGAACAACAATTAATAATTCAATATTTATTAGTTTTTCTGTTGTATAAAATTTCTCTTTGCCATCCAAAATGTTTGTTTAAAAAAAACTAATTATTTAGAAGGTAATGTGCATTTCCTCAGATAATACAATTACAAAGCGATTTCAGTTAGTAAATCTTGCTTCGCTCGAGCCTAGATCTCTTCATAGAGAACACACACATGCATATAGTACATAAAAAAGACACAATTATTAAACACATATTATTTATTCGCGGAAGAATTAAGAACGGGGCTGCAGGTGAATGAAACACAAACACATTTGCCACGAATTGGGTGGAAATATGTTGGGCATTTTACAAATAAGATACAAATACTTATGGATACTGTCTTGCGGCTGTGAACTGTGTGAACTGTAGATGAAGCGCGCCGGCGCCTCTAAATTGCAACAATATTTATGTGGGGGGGCTGGACATTAATATGTTTCTTCTCCGTTTAACAATTTCTTTCTCATTTAACAAATTTATTGCCTAGAAATGCGTATTAAATATTTTTTAGTCTGCTTAATTTCCACCGACCTAGAAGGAGTCCTGTTTCCAAGAAGGGTGTGAATAGCAGGGAATTGTGTGAGGATTATCCTAGTATCATAGCAACTAGGATAACACACAGCACATCATTTAATTCACATATTATTTACACCCATTTCAGGAGACCCCGCTCAGGTTGGTGATTATTATTATTATGGTTTATGGTTTATGCTTGAAAAATTGAATTACGAGGACGCTGCAGAGCTACCTACCGCCTTCAGCCTTGGCCGCTCAGTGCTCGACTTTCGTTCAGTTCGATTCGGGCTTGACATTGCGGCGTAGGATGGCCGCGGCAAGGTCCTGCTTCATGGCCGCCTGCTGCCTTTGGTCGGCCAGCGACTGTGTGCTCCTTAACCCGTTCACAATATCCTTGGTCTTGCCAAAGTAGATCTCATTTAACGTGTTGCGAATCTTGTTCTCCATCTCCTCCACCATCTTGCCAATATTGGCAATATGCGGCGACGACTCACTGACATTGGCATCCTGCTCCGTTTGGCGGGTCAGCGAACCGCCCAGATTCATCGTCCCGGAGCCCTGTTTATTTGTCTGCAGCCACAACATGGCCGTGGAGGTGAGTTTATAGTGGGCCGTTCGGCCGGTGGTCTTCTCCTGCACCTCCACCACATGTATGGAGTCCCAGCAGCCGCGAATCATCTTGCTGCCATCGCCAGCCTTCTTGATCAGTATCACAGCAGCAAATCCATGATCCAAGTCCCACAGATACACCGACGAGACGCCGCCCTCAAAGTACATATCCCTGTACTGGTCAAAGGCATAGTTCGCCTCGATCTCCAGCTTGCGCAGCCGCTCCGACGGCATCTGGCCATCCTCCAGCGGCGGGTAGTAGGTGTTCGACCAGGGTGATCGATAGGAGTCACCGTCGCGGTTGTAGTCGCACAGCAGGTAGTCCTTGCCATGCTCCTTGTCTTTGGCAATCTTCAGCGGCTGATCCACGGACGAGAGCAGGTCCTCGCACAGATCCGGCGCCAAGTCAATCAGATCGATGAGGTTCTTCTCGATCTGCTGAGGCGGCAGGCGACGCATCAGGTCCAAGGCGCAGTCCATTTGCATTTCCGACTGTGGAGATGGGAATGAGGAAGGGAAAAAGCAAGTTGAGTCACTTGAGCGGCGATAAGAGGAGCCCCAAAAAAGAAATACCCTAAAATCCCCCAGTTTGTGGGAGAGAAGAGGAGTGAGGAGAGAGCACGGGGAGGAGGAGGGTGTAAGACCGGTATTGCCTTATATGGGCATTGTTTTAGGCCCTTCTTTCTCTTTCCCCTTCTGCCAACAGAACTTCTTAACTTGTATACTAAATCTCTCTACTTTTCACTTAATCATGGGGCGGCGGCTCCTTTTAGATCTATTCACCGTTTGTTGGCCTTTTTCCGAACTATTACTCACCATTTTGATCTCTTTCGGGCCTTTGTTTCACTTGGTTTAATCGGTTTTAAGTGTCCAGTTCCAGGCAAACTGTGATGGGGGGCCAGGCGCAGTCTTAACTCTATCCTTAATTTTCGTTTTATTCCGTTTGTTTATTGCCAGGAATTGCACTAAATTGACTTTTAATTTTATATTTATTTTATTTTTTTCAACCTAAATACAGTGAGACCGTGTTCTGTTGGGAAATACCAGCTGCTCGATGGGATATACTAGAAAGTATACAAGTATGGTTTAATACCAAATTCAGGCATAACATAATTGGGGTATTCCCCTGGTGGCTGTAACAGAAAAGGGTAACAGAATTTTATTAACAGAGTAACAGAATTTTGCCTATGGAAATTCCAGAGTGAAAGTAACAGAGCTAGCTAACATAACTTTGCCTATGAAATTTCCAGAGTGAAAGTAACAGAGCTTGCTAACAGAAGATGTTCTGCCTCAGTCCTCTGTTAATTTACAGTTGGATTGCAAGCAGTGCAATATGTTAGCTTGCTAGAACTGCTTACACCAACTAGGTTTACACTGGGAAAATAAAATGTGGATTTTAAAAACCAAAAATAAAAACAATTCTTTTCTCTTTTTTTTTAAGTTCTTATTTTCCAAGTTTACTTCCAAACCCAAATAAAATCACGGAAATACTTTGTTTTATTATATTTTAGCAACAAGTTTATTGAATTTAGGTTCGTTCATATACTTTTTATGCTTAATTCCATTCTGGTTTCCCATTTCCTTTCCATGTCTTGTGAGTTTCTGTTACAATGCGATTGGTTGTTTCTGTGACTGTTTTTTTTTTTTTTTTTGGTTTAAGCTTACACTCGTATTTTGTTTTGTTTTATATTTTACATAAAAATGTATGGCATAATCGTAGATTTTCTTTATCCGAGTTTTAAAATATATTTAAGCTGTTACTTAAATGCTTCCACTTGCGTAATCTTCAGATATACATACACACTTATTTGGAAATCATATATGTAGGCCTGCTCCGAAAATTTGGTTTCCTTCTTGATTTTTACATACATCTATAGCCAAATTCATATGCTTGTTGTGTGTGACTGTGGTGTGGTTTTGTTTGTTGTTTTTGTGTGTTAATATTTAATAAGTAGTTCAATAAACTTATACGTTTTATAGGTGTATACTTCGACCATATACATAAGTGTAAAATCTCAGACTTTAATTTTTAACTAAGGTGCACTACACACATACAGAAATCGTTCAAAGAAATGTTTATGAACCAAATCGAGGGTTTTATGTCGCAGCAACTGTTTACAGGTAGTGTTCAAAAATAAGGGCAGATTTCCACACTAATCTCGAATAACTTAGATATCATTTATGTATTTTCTTAGTAGTTCTTTTGAAGTTTAATATTTCGGCTAATTAAATATTTATTTACTTATGCGCTCAGCTCTCTGTCGCATTCCCTTCTTACTCGAAATCAAAAGTGGCTTCAGATAATTATAATAATAATAATAACTCCATTTTTTTCAATTATGTATATTTCGTATGCTCGTTTTCGCTCCGATAATTATGCAACATTCGCTTATCAACGCTTCGACAATCAAATGTAATCACAGTTTTATGTTTTCCTTCTTTATATAAACTCATTTTCATTTAGCTATTTATTTCACTATTTTTCCGTGTGTCTGTGTGCGTGTCTCGAGTGTATCTGTATATGTGATTTGTTGTCTTTGTGGCAGAGTGGTTGATTGTTGTGTGTGTTTTTTGTTGTGGTTGTTGTTGGTAAACAGAAAATACAAATACTAAAGGAGTAGTTAGTTAGTACATGCTTAGTCTTCATGTGCTTCAAAAACTCACACCTAACCTTATCTCGTCTCGTCCCATTCCAACCCTAATCATTCAGATCCTTTTGCCTTATGAACATCTCATTCTCAGCTATCTCTTTTCCTTTAGATCCCTTTATTAGATTATTAATACTATTACGTATTTAGAAAACTTTAAGAATATTGCACAACTTGGGAAAATGTTGACTTGACTGCCGTTTTTAAAAATATTTCATTTATCATTTAATACCTGAGTTGTTCATAATCGTTTCCGCATGATTATTACATTCGCTTTTGGTTGCTTTTATTACTTCTTTTTTTTATAGTAATACATATCGAAAAAGTTTTGTTTTCTTTTTTTTTTTTTTTGTTGTATTAAATGCATGTATACATCGTCGTGAGTCTTTGATAATGCCCTGAGTTTGCTCCAAACGGATTTGGGTTTCTTTTTCCTTTAAAAACTATTTTCGTTTTCTTTAAACTTTTACATTTACATATACATATTCACGTAGTTTAAGTACACCCTGCCTAAACCTTTCTCTCCTTTTTTTTCTTGGGATAAAACTGATCAAAATTTCGCTTGGATAATTTGAAAACTTTTCAGTCCAGAACAAGGTTTAATCGAATTTTGGTTTGTGTAACTCAAGTTTTGTAGATTTCAAATTTTTCAAAAAGAAAACATTAAAAAAAGTGTGGAAAATAATAAAAATTAGAGTGGATGAAGATCCTTTAAACTGAATTTCAATCAACACTTAAAGTCACACAACAAATGTCTTTTTCTTTTCTTAAAATTTTAACTCTTTTTATACTTTATGCCGAAAAATTTGTACGATCTGTTATTCGTCGATACTTCTTCTCTATATATATTTAATTAATTTTAATTTATCTGCTAAATTTTGTTTGTTTTTACCTGAAATTTTGTACTCGTCATTGTTCCAAAAGTTTTTTTGTTTTTCGTTTTGTATACTTTTTAAAGTGTGACCCTAGACACAATAAAAACTAAATTTAAAAATTAAAACAAATAAAATTTAGGGAAAACTATGGAAAACAAGAGCAATTAAAACGCACATATACATTAAATATAATTTGTACTTCCTTCGATTTATCATCATAGACAAATTTACAACAACTTGATTTACACATTCGAGGGTAGAGACGCGGGGGGAGGTGCACTACTATATACGGGGTATATATATAGTCGGATATCTTATGCACACATACAAATAATTCTCAAGAAGCGTTTTTCTCTCTTCAAAATTTTGCATTGAACTGAACTGTAAAGTCGCTTACATGCCTAACACATTATTTTTTTCATCTTTCGTTCGATATTCGTAAACTTTAGTATACATATTTTCGTTACATTTATCTTAAATTTTTGTTGTTTTTTTTTTTGGGGAAAGTAGTGGAGGGGTTGGGTCAATTTCGAGTCCAATTTGGGGTCAGTTTCTGTTTGGAATTTGTTTAACCAATAAAAATAGCCAATTGTGAGATGTTTTGTGTTTTTTTTTTCTGGGGTTTAACATTTATTTAGTTGCATTTTGTTGTTTAGCATTTACGTGTGTATATATTATTAAATTTAGATTTAATCATATAATTGTTACAAATTAGAAAAAGAGGTGTAAACAAGCCAAATTGTTGCGATTGAACAGAACACATGACGAAATGGTTACAAATTATACAAAAATATATATTACATTTTTTGTTTTGTTTTTCTTTTTTAAATCTTAAACATAAACTGGGTGTGCAGTGTGTGTGTTCTCCTTTTATTATTTTATAGTTATTTAAAATAACTGAGGTAAACTAAGCATAAAGATGGGGGAACAATTTTGGGTTATTGCTGTTTTTGTGAAATTAAATTAAAAATTAAAAGGCGAAAGATAAGTACAATTGGCTTGTTGAAGGGGGATTTTCGTGTTATATTCATTTCGTTTTTTTTTTTACATTTCGCACTAGGTTATTAATATATAGAAAAACAATTACTAACAAAAATATATAACAAAAATTACATCGAGCTCTTACAAAATGTTCGGTGCACTAAATTTTACTTTAAATTGAACTTAAATTGTTGTTTTTTGTACCTGTGCACGCACTATTATTACCATTATTTGTGTGTTTCTTGTTACAGTTTTAATTTTGCTTAATTTTGTTTTGTTTTTGCTTACAAATTAATTTATACAACTCAAGGGTAAAAGGTAACTAAGAATTATTGAAAAATTACGAATATACAATACACAATTCTTCTTCTTTATTTTATGTACAATAATTTTTGTTGTTTTCGTGACGTGAAGTGACACGTTTGTGTGCTTTACTCTGTACGCTCTAAATGCAAAATGGCGACATTGGTTGTGTTTTAATTTTTACGTTTAAAGTTTAGATTAAGTTAATTACGCTCTCTGGGATTTTATTTTAAATTTTGTTTTTGTTTTTTTGCAAACATATTTTACAAAGAAATTATTTTACGCCGCTTGTCGAAAAGTTGGGCCTAAAACCTGGTTATAGATAAAAGTATTTTTTGCTTTTTTTCGCTTTTAAATAAATATTTATGTATAATATTTGATGCATATACATAGATTTTCTTTTTGTTGTTGTTGTTGCATGTGCCTAATAATTGTCATAATTTTAATGTTTTTATTTTGTTTTTTATCTTTAGCCAAAAGATTAAGCCTAAAATGTTATGCTTATTTACGCAAGTTTCTTTCAGAAATTTTTTTCCTCTTTGTTTTAGCAAAATGTTTACCATTTTGGTTTTTGTGTTTTTATAACCGTTTTGGGGTTTCCTTTGAATTTAATTAAAATTTTTTTTCTTTGCTCAAAACTTGATTACATTTTTTGTATTTTATTTTATTTTTATCTCAAGCAAAAGTATACCATTTACTGGGTTCGTTTCTTTCTTTTTTTTGTGGATTTTTTTCATTTTAATTTTGTAGCCTTAAATAATTTCTTTGTATTTTTGTTTATATTTAGATTATAAAGAGTTACGTTTCATATTTCTCTCGTATTTGTTTGGTTTGCCTCATTTAGTTGCTTTGCCGAAAATTGATGTAAACAAATGATCTTAATCCTGGACATAGTATATATCTCCTACACTTAGTAAAATTTGAGGGTATCTTAGAGTTTTAGCCAAAAGTAGTTTTACATTTAATGCTTTTGCTTTTTAAATCTGAATTTTGTGTGGCTTTTTAGCGCATATTTACATGAAAATATTGTTTTGTTTTGTAGTTAAATGCCAAAATGATTCTCAGTGTATTATGTTTTTCGTCACCATTTTACAAAAAGAATAGGAAAATGAAATGGGGGGTGGGTGGTGGGGGGTAGGTGGAGTGCGGGGGTCTGTAAGAATATATATCTTATTATTCTCATTTCGTTACTGCGCAGTCTATGGCTAATTGAGGTAGTTCAGTTTACTATTGCAGTTCGATCTGGTTTCTTTATTGCTATTGTGTGTGCTTGTGTGTCTTTTGCGATTAAAATTAGTAGTCCTCACTATGTAAACTAAACGAAACTAAAAACTAAAGCTTTCCTTGATAGCATCTTCAATTTACAACAAAATATTTTTGCGTTTCTCCTCATTCCTTGCTTTGTTTCTTAGCAAAACCAAAATTATAATAATAATAATAATAATAATAATAATCCTAATTGTAGTTGTAATAATAAACAAGAATTACAAAAAAAACACAAAGAGGTAGGTTCTTTCCTGAGGTATATGAGTTCCCGAGTTTGATTAGACTCTAATTGGTAAGACATAAAACAAAGACCGAAACTAAGCTAACTAAATTAGTTAATTCTAGTAACTAAAATACGGTTAAACGTTTAATAATAACCCCTGATTAGTAAATATTGATTGATTCCACTGACTGACGGATTGACTTTCTGACTGATGTGTGTGTGCGTCTCCTCCCCCGTGACCTTGGGCCCCCCCCGTCAAACGTACTTAAAAATAAAATGTAATTCAGACTCCAGCGAACGTTGACGGGGGATTCCCCAGGCACAAAACGGAGGGGATTAAACTTTGTGGTTGTGATGAAGAGGTAGTTGTTGTGTTTAAAATATTGCCCGGCTTCTTCTTTTTATACCCTTGCAGGGTATTATAATTTCAGTCAGAAGTTTGCAACGCAGTGAAGGAGACGTTTCCGACCCTATAAAGTATATATATTCTTGATCAGCATCAACAGCCGAGTCGATCTAGCCATGTCCGTCTGTCCGTCTGTCTGTCTGTCCGTCTGTCCGTCTGTCTGTCTGTCCGTCTGTCCGTCTGTCTGTCTGTCTGTTTCTACGCAAACTAGTCCCTCAGTTTTAAAGCTATCTGAATGAAACTTTGCATATAGTCTTCTATATGCTCTCACTGCTATATATGTCGGAACGGGCCGGATCGGACGACTATATCATATAGCTGCCATACAAATGTTTGATAAATTTTTAGAAAAAAAGTATAACTTGGCTGTTTTTCAATATTTTTGCATCATTTTTGAGATATAGCCATTTTATATTATTCCAGAATTTTGGTAAAAATTTTATGAAAATCGGACGACTATATGATATAGCTGCCATAGGAACGATCGAGAAATTAATAGAAATAAAATTATAGCTTCGTTGTTTTTCAACGCATTTTTATTTACTCTGAGATATACGTTTTTTTTATTATTCTAGAATTTTGGTATAAATTTCATAAAAATCGGACAACTATATCTTATAGCTGCCATAGAAGCGATCGGTAAATGTATAAAATATATAAAGCTGAGAATGTAAAACTGTAACTGTCAAACTGTAAACATAATAAGTATAGGTAAAATGTAATGAAACTCTGTTTTGTGAGTGTTTTCAGCATTTAAATCTATAAAATAAACATCAAAACCAATCTGCAAGGGTATACAAACTTCGGCGTGCCGAAGTTAGCTTCCTTTCTTGTTTATAATTGTAATTGTAAAATTGTAAGAATTACTATTGCTTTGCTGCACTTTCCCTGGTTCCCCTGGCTCAACACGAATGCAAAATAAAATTCGAGTTGTTGTTTCTTGATTAGGAAAATTAGGTAGGTAGGATTCATATAGAACGAAAAGAAGAACTAATCGAAAATATAATGCTTTCTTTCAACTTTGCAAACTTGAAAAAGGATATATCACAGAACAAACTGGGGGTTTTGGGGTCGGTTTCGGGGGTGGCATTTGTTTTGGGGGGTTAAAAGAAAAAAACACCTCTCTTGTGTTGTGGCTTGTGTTTAAAATATTCAACATTTTGGCTATTTCACTATTGGTTTCTATATGGATTCCCTTCTATATATTTCTATAAATTAAGACAGTTTCACAAATTGAAATTCAGTTTAGCTTCTAATCAAAATAAAAACCCTTCTCTCTCTCTGTTTTTTGGCGAGCCTAAAGTGTTCCTACATATGCGCTTAGTACTTTATGTATACAGTTTTTATATTTTATATTAGATCTAAGCTTTTCCTTTTATATATCATTATACAACTGAGGCCATACATATATGCATTTACATACATATATATAGATATATGTATTTATAATAAATGTATTTACAATACAAGGCTAACAGGGGCCTTGCTTTTTTTTTTCAATTGCAGCTTTTTTTACTCGTTTGCTTACAACAAATTCTTCTCTTCAGTTTTTCTTGTTTTTAGTATTTTACAGCGTATTTGTTTTTTGTTTTTTCAGGGATTTTGTTTGTCATCGAAATTATAAGAGCCGAAAAAATGAATTTTGAATTTTTGTTGGTTGGATTTTCTTTTTTTTTCTTGGTGAATTTTCTTTTGTACGAAAAATGTTTTCCAAAGGTGTGCCAAAAAGTTTCGATTTTGAATTTTGGTTTGCTGTTTTTTGTTTGTTTGCTTGCTGTAATTGTTGTTGCTGTTTCTTTTGCGTTTTGTCAAGTTTTTGAGAACGTTTTTGAGTGGTTTTTCTGCTTTAATATTTTGCTTGTTGTTGTTGTAACATGTTGCACTAGAATTATTATTTCAATTCAATTAAAAAATAATTACATTTACTTTATGCTTTTCTCTCTATCTCTCTCTCTCACATCGTTAAATATACTTTTTTTCTTTGTTTATAAAATTTTACTAGTAGTCATTTAATTATATATTTCTTATAGGCACCCAATTTACCAATTGTTTTCTCATATTTACTTAGAAACTTTTCTTCTGAATTCGGAATTGAATTTGCATTTCGGTTTTTTTTAATGAATTTTTTGTTGTAGCCAAAAGCAGTTTTGTTTTGAAATTTTGAGGCCTAAACTTGATGGAATCGAAAATCATAAAACGAAATATGTACGAAAAATCACAAAACACAAAAAAATATGTTTAAACTTTAAAGCAAATTAACTCTCAGTTCCTAGGAGCAGCAGCTCCTCCACGATCACTAAAGCCCTACTTCTGTTTCCCTATATTTTTACCTTTTCGTATTATTTAATTTAATAAAATTATTTACAAAAAAACGCGGCAAAAGGGGCAGTGGCAGTTGAGCTTTGGTAGTGAGTGTAGGAAGGAGCCACTCTCCCCTCTCTCTCTCTCTTTTTCTTCTTATTGGTTCCTTTTTAGTCAGAGTTTCTCGTTTGCTATTTATGTATTTTGTTTCTTTTGTTTTTTTTAAATTATTTTATACTATTTTAATTGTTTGCAGGTACTTGTGGTTGCGGTTTTTGTTGTTGCTATTGTTGCTTTGTAGTTTGTTTTGTTGCAGCTATTTTGTGTACAGTTTTTACTCATTACTTTTAACGCTTGTGTTAAATTCATTTATATATCGTTTCTTGCAGTTTGTGAGACTTGTGTTTCTATAGGAAATCAAAAATATACATTATGCGACAATAATTTAATCATATCGATCGATCAATCTCGCGATCCTCCTCAACACACACGAATAAACAAATATTCTACACTTTAATATCCTTTTGTTTTTTTTTTTGAGGCTCTGTACCAATCAAAAACGTTCAAACTTTTTGCATTTTTACTATTTTTTGTAGTTTTAAGTTTTAATTTGTTGTTTCTTCTGCTTGTTTTTAATTAAATTGCATTGCGAGTGTTGTTGGTTTTTAGTATTTTGTTTGATTAGCACCCTGAAAACGATTTTTCAGCCGGATTGCATTTATTTCTATTTCTCAGTTTTGAGCTCTGTTTTTGTTTACTGTTGTTTAATAAATTGTTTATAAATTGGATGTGTTGCTAATTGGTGGCTGCTGGCTTTCAACACAAATGTTGTAATCACATAAAAATCTGCAAAAAGTTGGACATCAAAAACTGCCTTCTTCGGTTTCCTTTCGTTTCTTATCGTTTCCGTTTCCGGTTTCGTGTGTGCATGCTTCGGTCGGTCTGTCTGTGTCATAAATCTTAGCATATTAGTAATTGTTTTTGTTTTGTTTTGCAGTTATAATCAATTTTTAGTTTGCCCCATTTTCTGGGTCTGGTCTCCGAGGGCAACAGCAGTTGCAACAGTAGTCATTGTTCTTTTCTTTTGCGCGCGTAAATCTTTTCGTAAAATCACTCATCTAACTCCATTCATCGTCGTTTGTTAACCTAAATCTAAGCAGCTTCTTTGGGGGGCATCCTCTTCTCTCCTACTGCTCCACATTGACCTTGGGCGTGGAGGTCAATATGGGCGTCTCGTTGGGCGGTGGTATCATGTTGGGGCTGGTGGGCGTGGTGGGCATGTGATCGTATATGGCTTCGGCCTGGACACTGGGTTCATCCTCATCCTCCTCGGCCATATGCAGATGCAGTTGATCCTCATCGTCCTCTGAATCCGACAGCACTTCGATCTTTGGCTCTACCACCAGGAGCTCTGAACCTGGCTGCGGCTCTGGCGGCTGCTCGTCCACTTCCATGGGACGTTCGCTGCCATCGCTGGCCTCTGCATCGCTGCAGCCATCGCTGGTGGTGTTGGTATTTGTGGTGGTGTTGGTGGTGGTGGTGCCTGTGGTGGTTGTATTGGCCGTGGTATTCATGGTTGAATCCATGGCCTCCACAGATGCCTGCGCCTCCGCTGCCGCCTGTGCCTGCTCGGCAGCCATGGCCGCCTTGATTTGCAGAGCCAGCTCCTGGTGCATTCGCTGCTGCTGCTGTTCGTACGTGAACGGTGGCTCAGTGCCCGCTGAGCCTGCTCCCGCATCACCGCCATTTCCTCCTCCTGATCCTACACCCTCCGATACTGCCCCCTCTCCCTCGTCTCCCCCCGTGGTGGACTCCGCCGCCATGGCATCCCGTCGCTGCATGCACTTCTCCAGTGCCATCTTGAGTGATTTACGTTTGCGCTGCTTTGCCGCCTCCTTGTGGGCGTTCATGACTACTGCTGCCGCTGCTGTTGCGGCCGCTTCCTATGGTGAATGATTGGCGGCTGCTGCCGCCGCTGCCGCTGCTGCCACATGGGCGGGTGCAATGGTTGCTCCCGCCGCCAAACCAATTTCCTGCTTGTGTTCTCGTGCAATATGCCGGCGCACAGTGTTGTTACGCGTAAAGGTTCGCTCGCAGAAGGGACAGGGCACACGGATGCCCTGATGTCTCTGGCGGATGTGTGCTCGCAGATTCGTCTCATAGCCATAGAGGCGATCGCAATATAAACACTTGAGTTTCTTGCCATCGGCCGTATTGACGCTGTTCTTGTTGTTCATCTTGGTGGCATTCCAAACGTTAAGCATGTCCGCTGGAGCTATAGAGGCGGCCAGGTTACCGGACAGGGATCCATCGGCATTCTTGAGGTTCTCCAGCAGGGCATTCGGTGTGGTTGTCGATGAGGTGTTTGAGTTTGGCGGTGGCGGCGGTGAATAGTTTGAGTTCTCCAGCTTTACGCGCAGATCCTCGGCTCCGTTCTTAATTAAAAATTAAAATTTAGGAAAATTTCGGAATTGTAAAGGATATACTTACATCTGCTGACTCATCCATAAGCTCGCGGTCGTCATCATTAGCCTCATTGGCACTGCCATTGTTGCGCTCAGATTTTACAATGCGATCCAGGCCACTGGTTACATTGCCATTGCCGGCTGTGGTGCTGGGACTGTGGTTCTCATAGCGACTAAAAGGGGTTAGAAATTAAGAACAAATATTATAAATATAAAGTCAATTTAGAAACCAATTTCCTCCCCCGAAAACCCACCTGGACTGTGGCGAAGCTCTTTCCGAATGCATGGTATCCGCCTCAGTGGGCGCCGTTGAGGAGGCGCTGGACGAGGGACGGTGGTAGGGTGGCTTATTAATCGGGCTGGGACACTCTGAAGATGAGTTCTTGGAACCATCTCTTAGCACGGATCCACGCTGCTCTTGCTCCGCATAAGGACTACGCAGGGCTCGCTTACGCAGCGGCTCGTAGGAGATGGGTCGGTAGATGGGCGGCACATGGGTATAGCCCATGCCTCCCGAGGAGGAGCTACTGCCACCCGGATGCATAAGCGAATCGCATTCTTGCTTCAAGCTGCCGGTAGATCCGCCCAGGTGATGAGCGGCGCCAGCACCGCTGCCCAGGCTAATGGGTCCATTGTTGCCGCCGACGCCATTGCCGCCGACACCCATGCCACCATTGCCGCCGCCAGTTCCTGTTCCTCCACTCAGTGGACCAATTCCCGCCGCTGTTCCTCCAATTATATTACCACCAGCACTGCCGCATCTGTCCAGAGCATTCGCACTGGCCGCCAAAGCACTCAGACCGCTGGCTGCCACACTGGCAGCCGCTGCCATGCCTCCAGCCGCAGCCATGCCGCTCAGAGCTCCGGCCAGGCTCAGGCCATTGCCATTGCCTAGACCTCCGGGTATGGAGTTGGCTCCCGTCACACCACCCAGTCCAATGCCTACACCAGCGGCACCACCAGGCAGGATGTTGCTGCCATTGCCTCCGCTCAGGCTATTTCGCATGCTCCTTCGTCCCGTTGGCGAGTCCAGCGGTGAGCTGTCGCCCATGTGTTGCTGCTGTTGCGCCTGCTGGGCCGCCAGGCGTCCCGTCTCTGTGGACAGGCCTTTGACCTGGAATAGTAAGTAATTTAAATAGTAAATAATTAAAATAAAGAATTATATTTTGGATATTTACCTGTAAACTCTCGGCAGACTTGAGGAAACTGTTGAGCGCCTCTTGGGACACATGGACCTCACCCTTGTACATAAACTCCAAGAGTGCAGCCATATTATCCGGCGTGGTGGCCTCCAGTATGATGACACACTGGCCGTTTGTGGGCGTGTTTTCAAACAGATCGGCGAACTTCTTTGAGCAGGCCGCCAATATAAGTTTGTGGGCTTTAAAAACTGCGCCTGCAAAAAGAGAATAGAAAAGAAATATTATAATAATAGAAAAATATGAGAATAATAAAGTAATACAAGAAACAAGAAGAAAATTCTTACAAAAAATTTGTTAATATTTTACTTGTTAATCTTTTGGCCACCCTTTAAAGCATCTTGTTTCTCCCACAAACTTCCCTGTTACCAACAGGTGTCGGCCTTAGAAAGCTAACCAAGACCTTGAACTCATAAAAAATCATGTCAAATATATACACACCAATATATATACACACACAGAAAGACACCCACATAAACACGTACAAGAAGCAGGACAATAAAACCCGCAGCAAGGAAATGATTTTCTCTCTCTCGCTTTGTGTCTGAGTTATTATTCAACATCAAAAATGTCGTCTTGATTCTGTATAGTAAGTATCTTTTTGTGTCCTGGGCCAGGACTCCTGGCACATACAAGACCAGGTAACCCACCCGGCGTATACTTAATGCTAGACCAAAAGCAAGTGTTTCTCTGTGTGTGTGTGTGTGTGTATAAGACATATTTTTTCCACGCTCTCTTTATGTCTCCCTCTCTTAATTTTTTTTTTCTTTTTTGGGGGGTTTGGTGGGTGCTGGCAGTTATGTCTTTGGCTTTTATGGGGCACTTGTTGTGTTAGCTTCGAGCATTACTTAAGCCAAATTGAAAGCAGACTCAAACAGCAGGGTTCTGGCTTCAAGAATTATTATTTACCGCCCAATCTGGTTCATAAATATATTTCAAGTTTGACACTTGGTACTTGGTAATGCATTAAACATTTCCTCACTCTTATTTTTTTGTATTTTCTGAGAGGCTTATCGCTTCTAGTGCATATTATGTGAAATTCAAAAGAATTGTGTCAATTCTTGCCTCAAACGCCCAAAAAGGCTGATAAGAGCTGATAAGAAATTCAATTCGTGGGGCAAGGCAGCAGCAGCTGACAGCCAAGGTCAAAAACAAAAGCATTGCATACACCACACACGCGTCGCACTCGGAAGTGATTCAGGCAACGCTGCGTATGAGCGATCCAAGTCGTCATTATATAATCTTTATTTTTTTGATTAATTTTCGACTACGCAAATTGCATCCACACACTTGTTTACCCCACAAAATAAAACTTTATTTTACTTTTATTTTGCTTATTTTTTCCATCATTCTTGCGATTATGTTTCCATATCAGACGTACATTTGCTTTTGCTTTATTTGGCTGATTTTCTAACACTTGATACAACAGAAATTGGGTCACAATCACCACAAAAGAAACGCAAAAAAAAATATATATAATAACACTCGCACACCCTACACACACACACACACGCTATACAAATTCCCTCGCTTGGGCCTGGCCTTGATAAAGAAATGACATATAATGTGTATATATATATTATATGTATTTTTTTCCGCTCTTGTTTACGTTCTGCGTTTGCTGTTCGCTTTTTCATTTGCTCCGCAATTTGTTTTGATTTTTTTTCCTTTCGGTTATATTTTTGGTTATTGCAGTTTGGCAATAACAAAAGGCTCAAGTACTCGCAAATTTCTGTTTTTTTCTGGCCATAATCTAATCGAATGATTCATGGCTATAAAAACAAACAAACACGTGGCTAAAAAATAAAAAATTAGTAAAGAAATTGGTTACTTTTAAGTTCTGCAATTATTTTAAGTATTATATTCTATAGTGGTCCTATAATCCTTCTTAAAAAATATTAAAAAAATATATATATAATTAAAAAACATTAAGAACTAGTAATTGATTTATAACTATTAAATTAAGCAAATATTTTTACTAATATTATATTCTATAGTGGTCCTATAATCCTTCCTAAAAAATATTAAAAAAATATATATATAATTAAAAAACATTAAGAACTAGTAATTGATTTATAACTAATAAATTAAGCAAATATTTTTACTAATATATTGAATTCTTTTCAACGAGAACTAGTAAGGAATTAATTAGTATTTTATACTTCTATAAATTTTTTGTTATTTTTTCAAAAATCTTTATTAAAATCTTTCTAAAAAAAGCATATATATTTCAAGTTAATATCAGCCTGTAAAAACCTCCCCTAAATTTTACCCCTTTCTTTATATTTTCAAAACATATCTCACACCCAAAAACATAGCCCAAGGCCAAGCAAATGTTCATTTGGGTAAAAATGCTCATTTCTCAAGTGCTAAACATGCCCCCCAACAAAACCTAAAACTCCTAAAATCCTTTCAAACGATAAAAAAAATACAAGAAAAATAAAACCAAGCACATGAATATTAAAAACAATAAAAAACATACGTTATTTGCCTTTGTTTTCACAGACAGCCAAATATTTAATGCTTCAAGAAAAAAAAAGGAAGATCCAAAAACAAATCAAACATAACAAATGTAGAATTCAAAATGGAAAGTCCACCCTTACTCCAAGGGAAATATTAAAAACCACAATTAAAACCGACCAAAGGGTTGTGTGTGGCGTTGGAACGTTGAAAATTTTAATCAAAAGTAGTACCACTTCGATTGATATGAATGACAACAGGAACAGGAAGCCCAAAAGGGTTCCAGCTGGATTTGTCTAGATAGGTTTTTTTAGTCCTCTTTTTAGCCCTCTTTTTAGCCCTCATTTTATCCCACTTTTTCTCCCCTTTTTTGGGGAAGTTGTCTGCGTATGATTTGCTCACTCCTTTTACCTTCTATACCCCATAATAATCCCAGCATCACTCATTCAATCAATGCAAAAAAAACAAGAAAAAAATCTATACTCTCGCCTACAGGGCGTATGAGCAATGAAGAAACCTTTTAAAGTCTCAAAATTCTTGTAAAATTTAAAGCATAAATTAAGTCAAGGTTAACATAAAGCTAAATAGAAACATGAAATGGCATACAAATGCTATATAATAATCATAAAAAGTAAGCCAAGATGCTTTAAGCACATAAAGACCCAACAAAACCGGGGGGCAAAAAGGAAAATATTTAAACCCAAATCAAAAGAGAAAGAAAAGAAGGTTAACAAGGGTCCTAAAAACATACATACAATACATACAAAACAGCGACAAAGGATCCCAAATAACTGACCTCAGTCAAAGCCTGAATAAATATGTACCAAACAGCCGAAATAAAAGTATATATGTATATATATATTGTGCCGCTATTATATAGGTTTGCCCGCATTTATTCGCCATTTAATAAGCTGGCATAAAAACTGTAGTAAAAGGCCGTAAATGAACTAGTAGACACAGGGCCCAGAAAGGAGGGGAGTGTGGAGGAGCCCGGGCTCAGACAGACACACAAACACAGCAAACGGCTGACAGACAAGAACGAGACAAGCCATAAAAGCCAACTGTCTCGCGTCTCCCATCATCATCAAACACAAACCGTCGGCAAAACAGGCAAAAGAAATCAATGATTGACTCTGTCCAGGCTGGGCTTATTACCAAATAAATAAGAGAAAACATGAGTAGCAGGCGAACATAAAAGAAAAGCTACTAGTCATAGGTAAATAAGAATAACTCAATTGAAAGAGAGCGAGCTTATCCTGTATGCTTCTTGGGTTAATTACAAATGATTACATTCAATATATGAATATATGTTTGAATACGTATGTATTTATTTAATTCAATTCTTTTCCATTACATTTAAAAAGTATAGAAGTATAAAATCACCAAAGACTAAATAAAGAATAAGATTCATAACGCATATATTGAACGAGTACAAGTGAATACATTGAATTGAATACAAGTGACCCCTGAATTCTTGATCAATTTAAAAATAGAATATTTACTAATTAAATTAAAAATATTTTAATAAACGAAAAAAAAAAGGTATTGATGACTTGACTTCTTTTTCGATTAAATAGTTTGTATTTAAGCAAATTCTATCTCAGTATAGAACACCGAATTCTGTATAACGCATAAGATGCGTAACGCATCTTTTTGACTAAATCCAAGTGACCCTTGAAATACTTCTCAATATTTACGTTAATTAAATTCTATTCCATTGACTAAAAAAATGTGTAAATGCACATCGCTTAAAACAATATATGTAAATAAGATGCATAACGACATAATAATATCATCACATATTAATAGTATGTATTTGTAAATGTATTATTCTCCAAAACTTACCATCGCAGGATAGTGTGACATCGGCCAACAGATCCGATTTGAACAGATTGGAGAATGTTATTGCCAAGTTAGACGAATAACTGTTCCACTTGAGGCAGAACTGCTGCTGTGGATCCATTTTGCCAGCAGTTGTGCGTTGTCCGCCGTTGCTCCGCCTATAGTTGTACCTCTTGTCCCCCGATCCGTAGCCGTTTCTGTATCCGTATCCGTATCTCTATCTATATCCTTGTAGCTCTTCACTTTCAGGAACCAAGAAGTTGCTTGAAAGGCGCCAGAGCGACGATAATGTTGACTGCGATTTGGTAATTGTTCTTTATGATTTTTGCCAATGATTTTTGGTCTTTGTTGGAGAGTTTTGTTGTTATTGGTGATGTTGCAATTTGATTTGTTTGTTTTCGTGTTGCCAAAATGGAATTTCGTGGAATTTTGTAGCTGCCAGCAGAGCATAAATGCTATTCGGCTGCTGCAAATCCTTAGCCAAAGGGAATTTTGCAATTGTTTAGTTAATTTGTTGTGTGTCGTACTCGTTGTTGGTTTCACTACGACAACTTCCGGTTTACCAATATCAATGACTTCCGTTACTTGTTTATTCGTTGCTGATGATGATAGGTTTTTGTTTGGCGTTTGCATAAGAAATTCAGCTACGAATTATGAGCGACGACGAAATCGAATCCGAACACGACAAATGCTGCAACGAGAATGAAGAAAAATTGTATTTTGTGCGATTAGTCTCAGTTTTCGATGCGTTTGACAGTGGAGTTCAGTGCCTGCTTTCTGGCATTAAAAAAAAAAACCTAATGCAGATTGCAAAGAGCTGTATCTATAACCCCTACCTTACCTACTCAAAAAGTAGTTCCAAGAAATATGTTTAAACAAAAACTCAAATTTCAAAAGCTTTTGGCATCGCTGTGAAATTTGGGGCCCAAACTGCATCGCATTTGTGTTGGTAACTCTATCTTGGCCTGCAGCATTTCCGACCAATTTATTAGAAATTAATCGAGCATTTAGAAAGAACCAAACACGAAGAGGAAAAAAAAGACTCCCGAAGATATACGATTCAATTCTCAGAATTTTGGACTCAAAAATGCCGCCGTCCCAAGGTTTTGATGCAACGCGCCAGGCGAGGCACAACTTTCTGATTTCTGCCCCTTGACTCTGGCCCTGACTTTGACTTTGATTTTGACTTTGTTCGTCGTCTACTGTTTCGGCCCTCCTTTCCTCCTTATTATCCTTTTTTTCTTTTCTTTACTTTTTTTTTTAATTCCTGGAAACTGCAGGTGAGGCTACAGTCTCTGCGTTGCATGGGATGCGTTTGTTTTCTTCGAATTTGTTTAATCGTTAGAAAAATGCGGCCTCGCCAGCATCCAGAATCGTTGATTTTTTTTCTCTCAGTTTGTTTCCCTTTTTTGTTATTTTTTTATTTCTTCGTTGACCATCAAAATCAACGGTTTCTTTTTTTGGACCCGCAGGAGAAAAAAAAAAAAGATATCGGTAAAAAGCTATTAAGAAATTCCTGGGAAGTTTGCAGTTTTGGCGAGTCTGCTGAATTCCTTATTCATTCGATTTGGCCCAGGGGAGTGTCAGCGGAGGTAAGGTTGCCCTTGAGGGCCAATCATGATTGCAAGATTGAAAGAAATTGATCGAGATGATTAACCACAAATGCAGAAAGAAGTTGATGAAGGAATAAGTCAAGGTTTGTGTCTATAAAAGGGATAATAAGAGGTATTCAATAAATTGGTAGATTAACCTACAAATAAATATGTTAATTAAGTTATATTTAAGGTTTTGCTGTAACTTTCCTTATTTTATTTAATTCTTAAGACTGGGCTCTACAAATTTTGTATTTAAACCTTGCAAGCAGCATTCGCGCATTCTCATCCCCCAAAAAAGTAAGACAACTTTTACCAGCTCTTTGTCAAGCAGGAATCACCTTTCTATTTCCACAGAAACATCCGCATCCACAAATTCACTACCATCCCCCCTGAAGAAGTAGCAACCCCAACATGCCTTTTACAAAACCCAACAAGAACTTCTTTATTTTTGCACTTGGTTAGCTTCAAGGCTTTATAGGCTTTAGCTTTAGCCTGAGCACAACTGTACTTTGTGGACTTCTCTGTCTCACTCTCTTTCTCTCTGAAGTTGTACTCCCAATGTCCTGCCTCTTTTGTTATTTTTGGAATATAGGGATATATACGCAATGAAATTTACGCAGCTGCATTTGAAATGCTTTTTCAAAAACACAAAATGCTCAATGTGAAAGAAGAATAAAAGCAGGAAAAAAGCCAAAGCTGAAAAATAGATCAAAAATACAAGCCATCTCTTTCTTTTGTTTGTTTGTATGTTTGTATATACCAAGATACACAACGAATCGCACCTGAATGAAGGTCTCAAGGCGAAATCATAGCTCAGGTATCTGGTAACCTATCTGCCTTTAAGCAAACAACAACAAAAGGCTGGAGATATGTGCGAAATGTACAAAAAACCAACGCGTAAATCCTTTTCACAAACACAAAGACACACATTAGGATATGCGTTCCTGGAACATGTACAAATACAAATGAAATAAAAGCAGCTTTCTAAGCTCTTCCAATTGTCTTTGTGTTGGGCAGGAAAATAAAGAAGAAGATGGTATTTGGATCGAGAACCTATGGCCTGGAGGCAAAGGACGAAAGAGGGTTGATCCTCGGATTCAGGGCAAAGCGAAAGATGGTATTACGCAACCAAATGGGAGCAGTTGCAGTTGAACATTTGTTGGGTTATAAAAAAGGGTAACTTACGTTGATAAAATGAGGATATGAGCTTTATATTTTATATATTCTATATTTTAATTACCCTCTTAAATACAATATTATTTGGTCTTCTTCACTGATATTTTTCCTTTAAAAACCCAAAAGAATGACTCACTTTCTTTTAAACAAAAGCAATAATCAAACTATTGAGGCAGATCAGTGGCATATTTACATAATTCCCAACAAAGTTTCGTCTCTCCCGCAAAATCTGAATAAATCCAGGCATAAACAAAACAGCATTGAATGACTGAAATACACATACTAATAAAAGAACTCGCATTTAAAATTGCTTTTTATATTTTGTAGATGGTTTTTTCTTTCAACTAATTGACCTTGTGCACTATTTAGACAAAACGTCAAGTCGTTTCAATTCCGTGATTCACATTTATTTGAGTGCAGCATAACTCGAGTGGTCAGCTTTGCAGATACATAGATACATAGATACAAAGATACTTTTTATGTGTGCAAAATGCTGTCTATTTTTTCAACGTTCTTGTTCGATTTGAATGGCAATTAATTTCGACAAATGACGCATTTTATTATGAAATCTTGCGATGCTGTTTTGTTGTTTTTCTCAGCTTTTTGTTTTCGGTTTTTCTTGTTTTTTTTTTTTTTTTTTTTCAAAGAAACGCATTGCAATATCACTTGAAATTGATTTTGATTAGAGGAAATGCCAAAGCGAATTTCTTGACTTGGGAAGATGGTATGACTTTTACGCCGGCAGCACCTGATGAGACCATTTTGCCTACAAAACTGGTAAATGAGAACCGCCAGAACCAATAGCATGAAAATCGCCACGTAGCGTTTCATCCAAAGGTTATAATTGTCTGTTTCCTAGTCAAAGAGATCCCATTCAACATCAAAGTACATTCGTTTGTATAAGGATGTTTTCAAAGACATATCTTTCGGTGATTTTAAACCTAAACAGTTTCTGTAAAACGAAAACCCTTCAAATCATTCATTTTTACATAATTAAACCTTAAATATATCAATATAAAGCATTCTATTTAGATCTCCAATGTTATGCTACATTGTTTTTCGATCTAAATGTCACCACCGGTGTGTTGACCTTTTCGTCTATAATATTACCAACACTTCCAGTGAAATTTCATTCGAAAACAGCGATTTGATAACATTACCGCATCTGTATTGCAAAAGTTGTCAATGACAGCTGGAGAAACCTGCTGCTCTGTTCTCAATCTCTGCAATAAGGAACTCCCTTATCCCTTTTTGTGGGTGGACTGCTACTGACAGATGAAGAAAATGCTCCTCAGGCGATATTACACATGTCCGCATAATGCCAAAAACGCCGGCAGATGTGCAGCCCAAGATCCAAGAATAAATGTCGCATAATTCACAGCGCCAGTTGGGGAAATTGTAAAAGTATTGTGAAATATTTCGCCGCGGGTGGCCAGGCCACATCAAAGGCAATGCCAATGGCACAGGCGGGACCTCATCTTGCATTGCATAAAAACGTGTGAGAATGAGTTGTTTGTGTTATCTGAGTTATGACATCTTCCTGCAGCCCGCTGAGATAAGCAGCAGCTCAGCGGGTGGCAGGTGTCTGCTGCTTCTGCCTCCTCATCATCATTGTCATCATCATCATCGTCAGGTACATCCGGCAAACAGGTGAATTGAGTAACTTTGTCGCCATTTTCATTTCACGCAGTTATGGCTTGGCACGGTTGCCTATTACAACACACATAATTGCAATGGGCCTTTGAGGCTAATACTTGATGGTCCGATTTCTTTGGGAATATGATTATTAATATTTCCGGCAGAAGAAACGGAAAAAGTAGCTCTTTGAGTGCAAAGAAATTGCCTCTATTGGCAATAGTTGTGAATTATAGAAAAGCAAATTGAGGGAAATCTATGGGGAGGAGGAACTGATTACTTAATACTCACAGAAATGAAATCTTAGGACCCTAGGCGAGTGGATATCTTATCAATTTTTTTAATTTTCTAGAATTTAAAATGTTATAATTCTACAATTTCTTCAAATAATTTCCTAAACTTCTGTCTCCTTAAACCACAAATATTTCTGCAAATAAACACCTTTAATTTTTTTGACTTTTAGAAGTTCCTCCAACAAAAATCTCTCCCTCAATCTGTTATTAAAAGACTAAAATAATTAACCAACAAAATTTCACCACATTTCCAATGGTAGAAACTCAAGTGTCGCTGTTGGTAATTAGCTATGCACGCAAATGCAACCAGCTTGAAATGCAGCTCCATGAATAACAAATGAGTTGCCATCAGAGAGGGGGCCCAAAAAGCAACAAAAGCAGTTAACACAAATTCGGTTGACAGTTAGCTTAAAACGCTTCGCTGAGCAGCCACAAATAAAACAAAAAAAGAGTTGTGTTAATGCAGTGCAAGTACAACAAAGTGTATCTTGAAGATACGCTTGCCTTGTCGCAATTACAAATTGTAATTTTTTTGTATCTTTCTTTTTGGTAGGTATAATATTTTTATGTAGCTCATGTAGGCCTTCCAAATGAATTGTTTTCGAGACATAATTAGTTTGGTTTGAGATATATTCTGGACTTACGATGACTTGGTATATTTGAACCCAGAAAGTAAACGCTTGAGAGAGCTTTGAAGGCTTGTAGTTAGTTACCTGCAAGTGGAAATAAGAGAGAAAACTTGATTAGTTAAGAAGTTAGAATATTATTATTTATATTATAGTTATACTATAAGTTATAGCTCTAAAATTGGTTGTATACAAATTTATAATTTACCAGTTAAGACCCAGAAATCCCTTAAAAATCGATCTAACTTAGAAATAACCTTCTTGATATTGTTTACTTAACAACTTTTCCTTGATGTTTACCTTTAATAGACGGTTAAGTTTCTGTTTGAAATTGAACCCTTAGATTTTTTGGCCAGCATTCAATCATGGGGAACAAGACTCGCGACAGACAAGCGTAAAGTGGCAAAAACTGTACGCCTCTTAACCCCCCCAGCTTTATCTGCGTTAACGTTCGCGTTCGGCGTTGCTCAAACCCAATTAAAAATGTCAAAAAATGAGGGGAATACCTGTAGGTAGTTAGCAGTTAGCGCACGCAGTAAATATTCATCACACAGAAAAGGGAAGGAGGGGTGTTTCTAGAATCAAACATCCTGGCTGGATGAATGCTCTCTCACATCCTTTACCCAATCCCGCATTTTCCAACGCGTCACACAGTTTAACTTTTCATTTGGCGCGGACTCTCTGTGTGTGTGTGTGCAAAGGGGAGATGGCTTAGACCCCCCTTTTGGACTGGCTACTGCTTATCAGCATGAGACGCACACATGTCAGGACACAAAACAGGAGCCAGGAGAAGCATCCAGCATCCAGCATCCTCTGAGCTACTGGAATGCATTGTGGACGTTGGAACAATTGCGTTCTGTGTATGTTTTCGTGCCTCGTCAGCAAAATTAAAAAATAGATACGCAAACGTTGGCCTAAACAGGGGGGTGGTGTAGAGGGAGGTCTCTCTGCATGGCTGCCAAAGTTGGCTAAAAGAAAAGGTTCCCCCCATTTACCCACTTTTCGTTGTCCTCCTGCCGAATTCAAATGTCACACAAGGATCGAAAGGTACGCATGGCCAGCTCTTTCCATTCGTGTGTGTGCCTTGGTTTATTGCAAAAATACACAACAAGCTGGGGGGCAGGGAGGAGGGTGTAGGCTGGGGCAGGACCAAACAACAGCTGCTTGGTTGTGGGTCTGCCTTTGCCCGTTTTCCCATTTTCGCTTATTTTTTTTTTGCCTTTATTTTAGGCAGAGGAAAAAATCTAATAGAAGTAACACGGACCCAGGATGCCAGCCTGCCTGCGAATGTCACTGGTCCAGGCCGATAACTATTGCCAGGTGGGTGTGGGCAGCAACCATCCCCCCTTTGGCCAGACACACAGGATGAATGGTCACTGGACGGGAGTCTCTCTTCCCTCTGAGTTCCCTTTTTTGTGCGTCTCACATAGTCTGGCCGAAAAAATCCCCATACCCGGCACATTGCGTATGTATTTTTATTGTATATATCATTGATGAATTCGCCGATAACAAATCTCAATCAAATGTCAAAAAGGTAACTGGCAGGAACAGCCAGGCGATGGACGGTGTCCAAGTGCTATGCCACCCCTCACTCTCTCGACCCTCTGACATTTCCCAACCATTTTCCTACACGTTGTAATGTTGCAATTTTCACGCAGGCCACGCGTCATATGCGCAATTGTTTTAAGCAATTCTCTAGATGGTTAGAATGATGAGGGGGGGAAAAGAAGGAAGGTAGAGGAGTAGGTAGAGAAGCAGGAGGTGAAGCAGGAGTAGGAGGAGGTCAACTTGACAGCTGCAGGTGGGCCTGAAAAGAATTGACCTTTCCCCCACTCAAAAACCCCCGCATCTTTTTCCACCTCTGTCCATGACAGCTCAAATTGTCATCTTGAATTTGAAAACTGTCAAAGTTTTACGGAAACGTTTTCAGTTGCAAAACTCAAGAGGGGAACTGATTTTAAGAGGCTAAGGGGTGGGAAAATTTTGGGGAGAAATGCAATACAATTTTGTTAATATTTTATAACAGGTTTTATAAAGGTTATAAAATTTTGAAATTAATAATTGGACTTTTAAGAATATGTTCTATTCACAGATTAATAAGTGAAGAAGTTTTGTAAGAAATGTAAGAGAAATAACAATCTGCAATTGAACCTTTTTAAAATGTTTCCTCTTCCGCCTTTATAGAATTTATCTCCCCTTCTATAATTTCCCTGCTCTTCCCCTTTTCCTTCCTGTTGTTTTATTTGCATCATCACCAAATTAAATAAAGCTCAATGACAAACTTCATTAGCCAAAAGATCAACTGGCCAAATGGCGAACAACAAAAATAACAATTTGCCTAGACCCCAAACCCTGAGCAAACGAAATCCGTAAATACCCCTTTAGCTTCATACCAACCTCATGATGATGGCCAACCCCGATTGTTGCGAATGGAAACCCTTTTGTCCGGCATTCGGCGGTCGTCAATCCTTGGTCAGAGAGTAAATGGCAAGCAAACGTTGTGCCGAAAACTAAATTAAGATTGAAATGTAAAACTGAAAGCGCTTTACACAATTATTGAACGTTCGTTCGACTTTAGGGTTTTTGGGGGTTGGAGGTGGAGGTGGAGGGTTCTGTGACAGGGAAAACCACTCTGGAAAAAATGCGAAGGGAAATTCCGCTTGTCGCGACATTTGACAGACAATTCACAGTGCGAGAGATTCAGTCGAGTGCATAACTTACAATTCCGTAAATATAAATTTTCGATTCTCCCCAGGAGTTAGAGTATAGACCTGGACTAATGAAGGTTGTCCAGGCCCCAAACCCACCCAGATTCAGCATTATCACTCCAGCATGCATTTTCTAAATGAAAATGGGCAGACAACGGCACAGAAAAAAGTAAAAAAAAGAGGAGGAGTGGCTTCAATGTATGGAAATTTCTGTTCAATCACAAATCCAATGATGTTCGCTTCGACGCATTTTGACAGTTGGACAACGACGACGCACAGGAGCCGAGGCTGAAAACGCTTCTCCCTTCCCTTATTTTTTTTTTACAGGCTTTGATGAATTTCCCTGGCCAGGATTGCTGTTTGTTTGAAAGGCTTCGTTGTCCTGCTGCAACCCCTCTCGCATATAGTATATATATCTATACTCCTTCCTTTCTTGTAAGCTATGCCTACTTCTGCCAGAGATTGGGCTTCTATATCTCTCCATCGGTTTTGGTTTTCCTGGCTTCCCTCGTATTTTTTTAAGGCCGATCCTTTGTCCCTCGCAGTGCATTGATTAGAATGTTTGGACTTGAGTACGTAAATATTTTTGCTTGCTTGTCAATTAGTACGTTAAGCTGTAGAGTTGGGGAGAGGTGTAGGTTTTTCGATTGAAATTAGAAATACAAGAGATACAAGACTGAAAGCTTTTGTCGGTTTTTGGTTTGTTTGGTTCTATGTGGTTTCTTTTTTGGGAAGGAAAGCCTTCTGTTAGCCTGGGTTTCAATGACTTTAGTTGCAACTCAAGTAGATTTTTGTATTTAAAATTTAAGAAGGCTCGAAGGACCAAATGTTGCTCGAAAAAGATACTTATTTAAATACGATTCTTATTTATATAAGGTTTATTTTTGGTAATATACTTATTTATACAAAATACTTGTTTATAAAAGTATCTTTTACTATGTATCTGTGTATCTTGTAAATGCAAAACCTTATTTTTAAGCAATTTAAAATTCATTCGATTATTTAAATTTATGTTTAGCCCTTTTTCTATACCAAAATTACTTAACAATTTGAAATTGATGACAAAAAATCAATATACCTCTCTTGTGGCAAACTTTTTAGGCTCTTTCTGCTTTACTTTCCTTTCTTTACCTCTCCTTTCTTTTCTCTTCTTTTCCCTTCTTTAGAGATAACACCCACACAGACACACACCTTAACTTCCTTAACTCCCAACCCCAAAGGCTACTCAAAAAGTCATTACTTTAATCGAATTCGCATTTCCCGAAATGAGCTCTCGCCGCAGGACTCGACTGCAACGCCTACTGTGAGCCCAGGATAACAAACGAAATTCTCGTAAATTTCCTAAAGAGTGGGTAAGGGGCTGAGAGTAGAATGCAAAATGTCTGACAAACATGCAATTAAGTCGTTAATACTTCATCGATTTAATACACGTGGGCAGGAGCAGGACACAGGGTAACAGGATATCGCAAACGCAGCCAGGATTAAGGCATTAACGGATCAAGGATGAGCCGAAAACGGAAACGGAAGTGCCGATAGAAGCCGGACGATGGCAGACATTTGATTAGTTCCACTTCTGCAACCCCTTTTTTTTCCGCGAGATATGCAATTACGATATAAAAGTTAAACAAACCAAAGGATACGGTTCCAAAAATTTGAACATTTGATTAAAAACGCAAATAGATTTTGAAGCAAAAATCCCCTATGTGCATAAAAAATTAAGCAACAACGATGGCTTAGAAAAACCTGAAAAGCGGCAACATTTTTTACGCAAATACAAACGAGACGAGAGAAGCACAAACCCAACACAATTCATCAGAGAGGAGGACGACTCTTCTTTTTTGTATCATCCTCCGCGTGGGCTCAAGCTCTCATATCCCACCTGTAATAAAAATCATAACCCAGGAGGCGTGGCACCAGACACCGACGCACATATTGAACTAACGAGTAAAGGTGGGGGCTAGGAGGAGGTGGAGAGGTGTACAACCCACCCGCATGTCTGTGTAAAAAGGTAAAAACCAATCAAGAGCATCAATAAAAGGCACGTCAATCAGCGTGTGCGGCATGGTAGGCTCTCCAGAATCAGCTCCTGGTAACCACCTTTCGCCTCCTACCTGAATGCTGCTCAACAAGCACGAAAAAATCATATTTCCTGGTCCTGGCCATGCGTGTGCTTTACCAGTTTTTCTCTTCTTTTTTTTCACCCGCTCCTTGTGTGTGTTTTGGCCTTTTGTCTAGCATCGGCAACGCGGTTTTAGTTCAGTCAAGCTGTCATATCGACGCTTTTGCATGCCAGACCAGCCTCGGCCTCAAACTCAAAATCAAACTCGAGCCTGGACCCGCTTCCTGGCTATCAGCAGGCAGGCCTTCTGGCCTTCCCTT